CCACGACCTCCTGTGTATCAGGCGAGGTAGTTAACATTTCGTCAGGGTCAGGGATGGAACCCACGACCTCCTGTGTACCAGGCGAGGTAGTTAACATCTCCCTAGCCACCGTGATGATGATGAGAGAGGGATAGAACCCACGACCTCCTGTATACCTGGCGAGGTAGTTAACATCTCGTCAGGGTCAGGGATCGAACCCACGACCTCCTGTATACCAGGCGAGGTAGTTAACATCTCCCTAGCCACCGTGATGATGAGAGAGGGATAGAACCCACGACCTCCTGTGTATCAGGCGAGGTAGTTAACATTTCGTCAGGGTCAGGGATGGAACCCACGACCTCCTGTGTACCAGGCGAGGTAGTTAACATCTCCCTAGCCACCGTGATGATGATGAGAGAGGGATCGAACCCACGACCTCCTGTGTACCAGGCGAGGTAGTTAACATCTCCCTAGCCACCGTGATGATGAGAGAGGGATAGAACCCACGACCTCCTGTGTACCAGGCGAGGTAGTTAACATCTCCCTAGCCACCGTGATGATGATGAGAGAGGGATCGAACCCACGACCTCCTGTGTACCAGGCGAGGTAGTTAACATCTCCCTAGCCACCGTGATGATGAGAGAGGGATAGAACCCACGACCTCCTGTGTACCAGGCGAGGTAGTTAACATCTCCCTAGCCACCGTGATGATGATGAGAGAGGGATAGAACCCACGACCTCCTGTGTACCAGGCGAGGTAGTTAACATCTCCCTAGCCACCGTGATGATGATGAGAGAGGGATAGAACCCACGACCTCCTGTGTACCAGGCGAGGTAGTTAACATCTCGTCAGGGTCAGGGATCGAACCCACGACCTCCTGTATACCAGGCGAGGTAGTTAACATCTCCCTAGCCACCGTGATGATGAGAGAGGGATAGAACCCACGACCTCCTGTGTATCAGGCGAGGTAGTTAACATTTCGTCAGGGTCAGGGATGGAACCCACGACCTCCTGTGTACCAGGCGAGGTAGTTAACATCTCCCTAGCCACCGTGATGATGATGAGAGAGGGATAGAACCCACGACCTCCTGTATACCTGGCGAGGTAGTTAACATCTCGTCAGGGTCAGGGATCGAACCCACGACCTCCTGTATACCAGGCGAGGTAGTTAACATCTCCCTAGCCACCGTGATGATGAGAGAGGGATAGAACCCACGACCTCCTGTGTATCAGGCGAGGTAGTTAACATTTCGTCAGGGTCAGGGATGGAACCCACGACCTCCTGTGTACCAGGCGAGGTAGTTAACATCTCCCTAGCCACCGTGATGATGATGAGAGAGGGATCGAACCCACGACCTCCTGTGTACCAGGCGAGGTAGTTAACATCTCCCTAGCCACCGTGATGATGAGAGAGGGATAGAACCCACGACCTCCTGTGTACCAGGCGAGGTAGTTAACATCTCCCTAGCCACCGTGATGATGATGAGAGAGGGATCGAACCCACGACCTCCTGTGTACCAGGCGAGGTAGTTAACATCTCCCTAGCCACCGTGATGATGAGAGAGGGATAGAACCCACGACCTCCTGTGTACCAGGCGAGGTAGTTAACATCTCCCTAGCCACCGTGATGATGATGAGAGAGGGATAGAACCCACGACCTCCTGTGTACCAGGCGAGGTAGTTAACATCTCCCTAGCCACCGTGATGATGATGAGAGAGGGATCGAACCCACGACCTCCTGTGTACCAGGCGAGGGAGTTAACATCTCGTCAGGATCAGTGATCGAACCCACGACCTCCTGTGTACCAGGCGAGGTAGTTAACATCTCTTAGCCCCTGTTTGACGACGACTCAGAGCGGCTGCTACGCCGCAAGGCGAGCTGAGCTCGACTCGCCAAAACGGTGGGGGGGGGGGGGGGGCGGGAGGGTAACCCGGGGGGGGGTCGAGCAACCTTCGTGGGTGGGCCCCTTCGCCCCCCCCCCCTCGCTGCAATCAACCGAACGTGGCCAATCAGCGGGGTGCGTTCGGTAACGCGACCAAGGGGCCGGTCGCGTTGCACTTCCTGCAGCTCCCCCCCTGCCCCCCCCCCGCTCCCCCTGCCCCCCCCCCCTGCCCCCCCCCTGCCCCCCCTGCTCCCCCTGCCCCCCCCCCCGCCTAACGTCAGCCAGGCACGCGCCGCTTTGCCGGCCGCTTATCAATGTGGGCTGAGGGCAGGGGGCCAGGGAGAGTGGACGTCTCCACTCCGTCCTCCTGCCGCTGTCTCGCTGTGGCTCCTGCCGCTGCTGCTGCTGCTGGAACACTCGCTCGGCCTCTCTCTCTCCCTCCCCACCTCTCTCTCTCTCTCCCCACCTCTCCCTCCCCACCTCTCTCTCTCCCCCCTCTCTCCCCCACTGCTCTCTCTCCCCTTCTCTCTCTCTCTCCCTACCGCTCTCTCTCCACACCTCTCTCTCTCCCCCTCTCTCTCTCCCTACCTCTCTTTCTCTCCCCCTCTCTCCCCACCTCTCTCTCTCCCCCTCTCTCTCTCCCCCTCTCTCTCTCTCCCTACCTCTCTCTCCCACTCTCTCTCTCCCCCTCTCTCTCCCTACCTCTCTCTCCCACTCTCTCTCTCCCCCTCTCTCTCTCCCCCTCTCTCTCTCTCTCCCTACCTCTCTCTCCCCCCTCTCTCTCTCCCCCTCTCTCTCTCTCCCTACCTCTCTCTCCCCCCCTCTCTCTCTCCCCCTCTCTCTCTCTCTCCCTACCTCTCTCTCCCACTCTCCCCTCTCTCCACTTCTCGCTCTCTCCCTCTTTCCCCCTCTCTCATCTCCCCCCCCCCACGACTCTTCGTGATTGCATCGCGGCGCGCTTTGAAATACCGCCCCTCCCCCCTTCACCCCCTCCCCCTTCACCCCCCCCCTCACTCCCCCCCATCCTCGTCACGCTCCTCATTGTGACGCACGCACCAGTAAACTCGATGGCGTGTGCGGAGTCCGGTTCCTCTTCCCCGTGTGACGCTCTCCCTCCCTCCCTCTCTCGATTTAGTTTTTTATTGTACGATCAGAGGAAACATGAAGATGCTCGGTGTATTCTAGATTTAAAGCTTTCGTGACTGCAAGGATCCACACTCTTTGGTTCTATTGGGTAAAGTCACGTAGGTAAAAAAAATAAAACAACAAAAATCACGACGTTTCGGCCACAACACAAGCGGCCTTCATCAGGTGAAGGGACCAGGCTGTCTCGAGGACAGCGCTGGAGTGAAACACAGCCACGCTCAGACCGCGGACCTTTAAGCTGTGTGCGAGGAAACAAGGTGCCTTGACAAAGGAATTAGCATAAAAAATAGCATTTGATTGGCCGACTTAGCATAGAGGTGGTGTACGTGCGGGTGCACTTGCCGTTTGGCGAGGGGGGGAGGGGGAGTTTACCTATTGATGGTGTGAAAAGAGAATTTAAGAGCTGCGAAAGTTTGGGGTACCACTACTTGAAAAAATATACTGTACTATTGAAAATTAGTTTAATGGTTGGTTCGATTTAGAACATCTTTCCAATGGTTGCTTAATTTGAAACCATCTTCTCGGTTGAAATTGTGTCTGTGTTTATAGATCTCAATTGCCTCGTGAACAAATCTCTGATAAAAACCCGTGGGTTTGCAAAGAACCTTGGTATCGGAGAAAATTATATCGTGATCACCCACAGCGGTGTAACAGTGATCAGCCACGGCAGAATAATTCGTTCTGCCGTGTTTCAAATCTGATTTGTGCTCGCGAATTCGGTCAGAGACATGTCGCTTCGTCTCCCCGATATAGCAATCACCGCAGGTACAACTCAATTTGTAAACCCCGGGGTACTGTAAGTCAAGAATGACATCCTTCACGGATGGGATCAGATCACGAATTTTGTGTACTGACCGAATTCGCGAGCACAAATCAGATTTGAAACACGGCAGAACGAATTCTTCTGCCGTAGCTGATCACTGTTACAACGCTGTGGGTGATCACGATATAATTTTCTCCGATACCAAGGTTCTTTGCAAACCCACGGGTTTTTTATCAGAGATTTGTCCACGAGGCAATTCAGATCTACAAACACAGACACAATTTCAACCGAGAAGATGGTTTCAAATTAAGCAACCATTGGAAAGATGTTCTAAATGGAACCAAACATTAAACTAATTTTCAATGGTACAGTATATTTTTCAAGTAGTGGTACCCCAAACTTTCGCAGCTCTTATAAATTCCCTTTTCACACCATCAATATGTAAACTCCCCCTCCCCCCCCCCTCGCCAACCGGCATGTTCACCCGCACGTACACCACCTCTACACCGTTCATCATGCTAAGTCGGCCAATCAAATGCTAATTTTTTATCCTAATTCCTTTGTCAAGGCACCTTGTTTCCTCGCACACAGCTTAAAGGTCCGCGGTCTGAGCGTGGCTGTTTCACTCCAGCGCTGTCCTCGAGACAGCCTGGTCCCTTCACCTGATGAAGGCCGCTTGTGTTTGTGGCCGAAACGTCGTGATTTTTGTCGTTTATTTTTTTACCTACGTGGTGACTTTACCGAATAGAACCAAAGAGTCCGCTCGGTGTAGTCGGCACTTTGCTTCGTTCATCATTTCGGTGTTTTCAATGTTGTGCATTATGTGCCCCCCCCCCCCTATTTAAATGAAATATTTCACGAAAGATTTCACGCTCTCCTTCTTACCCCTTCCCTCTCTCTCTCTACCCCCCCCCCTCTCTACCCCCCCCTCTCTCTACCCCTCTCTCTCTCTACCCCCCCCCTCTCTCTCTATACCCCCTCTCTCCCTACTCCATGTCTATGTTCCCCCTATTTTCTACGTATTTGTTTTATTAAACTACGACAAGTGCTGCATCTGCACCCAGCCCCGCTCTCAGCCCTACGGCCTCCGGCGGGCAGCTCGTGTCTGCACGCGGAGCTCTCTACCCTCATCTGCCAGCGAGCACTCGCGGCCTCCTCCAGCGCCCCCCCTCTCTCTCTCTCACCTCCCTCGTGACGCTCCCCCTCCTCCCCCCCACCACGTGACCAGACCAGCGCTCCGGCTCGTGCTACGCGACGGTGTCTGGCGGGCGCTGCAGCTCCCCGCTTGGCGCGCCGCTCGCTCGCTCGCGCTGCTGCTGCGACGCCGCCGGCACCGCCGCTGGCGCCGCTGGCGCCCGCTGCTGGGCCTTCGGCGGCGTGCCCGAGATGTGCCCCATCCGCGGCACCGGTACCACGCACCGGCGTCGCTCGCCCGACTCGCTCGCTCAACTCGCTCGCCTGCGCACACCACGCCCGCCAACTCGCTCACCTGCGCACACCACGCCCACCAACTCGCTCACCTGTGCACACCACGCCCACCAACTCGCTCGCTCAACTCGCTCACCTGCGCACACCACGCCCACCAACTCGCTCACCTGCGCACACCACGCCCACCAACTCGCTCACCTGTGCACACCACGCCCGCCCGCTCGCTCGCTCACCTGTTCACACGCTCACCTGCTCGAAAGATCACCTGCTCGCTCACTCACCTGTTCACATGCTCACCCACTCACTCACCTGCTCGCCCACTCACCTACTCGCTCACCTACTCGATCACCCACTCGCTCACCTGCTCGCCCACTCACCTACTCGCCCACTCACCTACTCACTCACCTACTCAATCACCCACTCGCTCACCTGCTCGCCCACTCACCTACTCACTCACCTACTCGATCACCTGTTTGCACGTTCACCTGCTCACACGCTCACCCGCTGGCACGCTCGTCTATTCGCTCACCTACGCGCTCACCTGTTCGCATGTTCACCTGTTCCAGCGATCGGCTACTTGCGTGATCACCTAATCACCCTCTCACCAACTCGTGCATACACTCACCTGTTCTCACACACACCCGCTCACCTATTTTTACGCCCGCTTGCATGCGCACCTGCTCACTCACCCAGCTGCTCGTCCGCCTTCTCACTTGCTCAAGTACTCACCCGCTCGGTCACCTGCTTGCTCAGCTACTCCCTCACCTGCTTACATGATTACTTATTCAGTCAATGGTCAATGACCTGCTCACTCAATTGCCCACCTGCTCACCCCTTCACTTACCTACTCACCCTCTCACTCACCTGTCACTCACCGACCCACCCACCCACTCACTCACCTGTCACTCACCCACCCACTCACTCACCTACCCACGTACCCACTCACTCACCTACCCACGTACCCACTCACTCACCTGTCACTCAACCACCCACCCACCCACTCACTCACCCATCCACTCACTCACATACACACCTAACCACTCACTCACCCACCCACTCACTCACCTGTCACTCACCCACCCACCCACTCACTCACCTACCCACTCACTCACCCACCCACTCACTCACCTGTCACTCACCCACCCACCCACTCACTCACCTGTCACTCACCCACCCACTCACTCACCTACCCACCTACCCACTCACTCATCCACCCACTCACTCACCTGTCACTCACCCACCCACCCACTCACTCACCTGTCACTCACCCACCCACCCACTCACTCACCTGTCACCCACCCATCCACCCACTCTCTCACACACCTACCCACTCACTCACTCACCTGTCACTCACCTACCCATCCACCCACCTACCACTCACTCACCCAGCCACCCACTCACTCACCTATCACTCACCCACCCACCCACTCAGTCACCAATTCACTCACCCATCCACTCACTCACCCACCCACTCACTCACCTATCACTCACCCACCCACCCACTCACTCACCTGTTACTCATCCACCCACTCACTCACCTACCCACCTACCCACTCACTTACCCACCCACTCACTCACCTATCACTCACCCACCCACACACTCACTCACCTGTCACTCACCCACCCACACACTCACTCACCTGTCACTCACCCACCCACCCACTCTCTCACACACCTACCCACTCACTCACTCACCTGTCACTCACCCACCCATCCACCCACCTGTCACTCACTCACCCAGCCACCCACTCACTCACCTATCACTCACCCACCCACCCACTCAGTCACCAATTCACTCACCCATCCACTCACCCATCCACTCACTCACATACACACCCACTCACTCACCTACCCACCCACTCACTCACCTACCCACCCACCCACTCAATCGCATACACACCTAACCACTCACTCACCCACCCACTCACTCACCTGTCACTCACCCACCCACTCATTCACACACCTACTCACTCACTCACCTGTCACTCACCCACTCACTCACCTGTCACTCACCCACTCACTCACCCACCTGTCACTCACCCACTCACTCACCTGTCACTCACCCACCCACCCTCTCCCCCACCCCTCTACAGAGGAGTACCAGCACCTGTGTGAAAGCCAGCCCTTCCTGCCCAGCTACCCCGACGGGACTCACCCGGGGGGGTTCCCTCCTGGGGGAGGGGTCCCTCCGGGGGGGTTCCCCCCCCCTCCTGGGGGGTTCCCCCCCTCCGGTGGGTTACCCCCGCCCGGTGGGGGCTCCTGGCAAACGGAGTTGCCTGGTGGACACCGACCCGGTGAGTCGGTGGTTGGGTAAGTTAGTGGCTGGGTGGGTGGGTGGGTGAGTCGGTGAGTCAGTGGGTGAGTGGGTGAGTGAGTGGGTGGGTCATTGAGTGAGTGTGTGGGGAGTGGGTGAGTGAGTGGGTCAGTAGGTGAGTGGGTGAGTGAATGGGTGAGTGGGTGAGCATGCGAGTGGGTGAGCATGCGTGTGATTGAGCATGTAAGTGAGCGAGTGAGTTATTGAGTGAGTGTGTGGGGAGTGGGTGAGTGAGTGGGTCAGTAGGTGAGTGGGTGAGTGAGTGGGTGAGTGAATGGGTGAGTGGGTGAGCATGCGAGTGGGTGAGCATGCGAGTGAGTGAGCATGCGAGTGAGTGAGCATGTAAGTGAGCGGGTGAGTGAGTGAGTGAGCTGGTGAGTGGATGAATGAGTGAGTGAGTAGGTGTGTGAGCGAGTAGGTGTGTGAGTGCGTAGGTGTGTAAGTGAGCAAGTGAGTTAGCAAGTGAGTGAGTGCACCGGTGAGTGTGTGTGTGAGTGAGCAGGTGGGTGAGTGCACAGGTGAATGAGTGTGTGAGTGAGCAGGTGGGTGAGTGAGTGTGAGTGAGGGAGTGAGCTGGTGAGTGGATGAGTGAGTAGGTGTGTGAGTGAGTAGGTGTGTGAGTGAGTAGGTGTGTAAGTGAGCAAGTGAGTGAGTGAGCAAGTGAGTGATGGCACATGTGAGCGTGTGTGTGAGTGAGCAGGTGGGTGAGTGCACAGGTGAGTGAGTGTGTGAGTGAGCAGGTGAGTGGATGAATGAGTGAGTGAGCAGGTGAGTGAGTGAGTGAGCAGGTGGGTGAGTGAGCAGGTGAGTGAGTGAGTGTGAGTGAGTGAGTGGGTGAGCAGGTGGGTGAGTGAGCAGGTGAGTGAGTGGGTGAGCAGGTGGGTGAGTGAGCAGGTTAGTGAGTGTGAGTGAGTGGGTGAGCAGGTGAGTGAGAGAGGATGTGAGTGAGTAGACGGGTGAGTTGAGCAGGCAAATGAGTGAGCATGATGAGGTTATCTTGTGCGAGGTTATCTTGTGTGATGAGGTTATCCTGTGTGATGAGGTTATCTTGTGTGATGAGGTTATCCTGTGTGATGAGGTTATCCTGTGTGATGAGGTTATCTTGTGTGATGAGGTTATCCTGTGTGATGAGGTTATCCTGTGTGATGAGGTTATCCTGTGTGATGAGGTTATCTTGTGTGATGAGGTTACTCTGTGTGATGAGGTTGTCCTGTGTGATGAGGTTATCTTGTGTGATGAGGTTATCTTGTGTGATGAGGTTATCCTGTGTGATGAGGTTATCCTGTGTGATGAGGTTATCTTGTGTGATGGGGTTATCCTGTGTGATGAGGTTATCTTGTGTGATGAGGTTATCTTGTGTGATGAGGTTATCCTGTGTGATGAGGTTATCTTGTGTGATGAGGTTATCCTGTGTGAGGGGTTATCCTGTGTGATGAGGTTATCCTGTGTGATGAGGTTATCTTGTGTGATGAGGTTATCTTGTGCGAGGTTATCCTGTGTGAGGGGTTATCTTGTGTGATGAGGTTATCCTGTGTGATGAGGTTATCCTGTGTGATGAGGTTATCTTGTGTGATGAGGTTATCCTGTGTGATGGAATTCAGCGTACGCTGAATTCCATCCAGGGATTCAATGCGGAGAGGCGGGCCCCCCCCCCCCCGTCTCCATCTCATCTCCCTGTCTGTCTGCATCTCTGCCCCCCCCGTACCCCCCCCATGCCCCCCCGTGCCCCCCTCGTGCCCCCCCTGTGCCCCCCCCGTGCCCCCCCGTGCCCCCCGTGCCCCCCGTGCCCCCCGTGCCCCCCGTGCCCCCCCGTGCCCCCCCCCCCGTGCCCCCCCCGTGCCCCCTAGACGTGCTGCCCCGTAACGAGACTGTGGATCTGTGCCGTCTCTTCCCCGGCGTGTGCCCCGGTGGGCGCTGCGTGGCCACGCCGGGCGGCTACCACTGCCAGTGCCAGGCGGGCCTCCGGGCCGAGCCACGCGGGGGCTGTGTCGGTAAACAACAAACAACAAACAACAATAACAACAAACAACAATAACAACAAACAACAATAACAACAACAAACAATAACAACAAACAATAACAACAACAAACATCACGAACAAACAACAATAACAACAAACAACACGAGCAAACAACAATAACAACAACAAACAACAATAACAACAAACAACAATAACAACAAACAACAATAACAACAACAAACAACAATAACAACAAACAACAATAACAACAAACAACAATAACAACAACAAACAACAATAACAACAAACAACAATAACAACAAACAACAATAACAACAACAAACAATAACAACAAACAATAACAACAACAAACATCACGAACAAACAACAATAACAACAAACAACACGAGCAAACAACAATAACAACAACAAACAACAATAACAACAAACAACAATAACAACAAACAACAATAACAACAACAAACAATAACAACAAACAATAACAACAACAAACATCACGAACAAACAACAATAACAACAAACAACACGAGCAAACAACAATAACAACAACAAACAACACGAGCAAACAACAATAACAAACACCACGAACAAATAATAACAACAACAAACAATAACAACAACAAACACCACGAGCAAACAATAACAACAAACACCACGAGCAAACAATAAGTACAAAACGAGATACACATCGACTTTCACAGAGACCCATAGACTCACACAGAGACTCATAGACTCACACAGAGACTCATAGACTCATACAGAGACTCATAGACTCACATAGAGACACATAGACTCACACAGAGACTCATAGACTCACGCAGAGACCCATAGACTCACACAGAGACCCACAGACTCACACAGAGACCCATAGAATCACACAGAGACCCATAGACTCAAACAGACACCCATAGACTCACATAGAGACCCACAGACTCACGCAGAGACCCACAGACTCACACAGAGACCCATAGACTCACGCAGAGACCCATAGACTCACGCAGAGACCCACAGATTCACACAGAGACCCATAGACTCACACAGAGACCCATAGACTCACGCAGAGACCCATAGACTCACACAGAGACCAATAGACTCACACAGAGACCCACAGTCTCACACAGAGACCCATAGACTCACACAGAGACCGATAGACTCACACAGAGACACATAGACTCACACAGAGACCCACAGACTCACACACAACAATACCAACCACCGCCATTCGCCGCTAGGTAGCGCTGATGTCACCACGGCGATTGCGCCAGGCTAGGTGCACTTTGAGGCCACAGGAAGTGTTAAACGCCTGCTGGCAGGAGGTCGACTGACTGAGATGAGTGGCTGATGCACCACCTGTGCCCCCTACTGTGCCAACCTGCTGTGCTTTAGCCACCCGGCGCTGCGCTCGTTGTTGTGAGCATCGCTCCTCTGCCCTCCGTTGTTGTTGGAGGGCGACTGCCTCCAACTGCCCAGTAGCGTCCTTCACGAGCCTCCTCCACAGAGGCCGATCTTGACACCGCTGGTACCAGTCATTGGCAAGTCCACTCAGCTCCACGTCCTCCTGTACCACATCACTCCATCTCTTCTCTAGCCCGTGGCGCGCCCGTTTAGCCGCCTCGATCCAGCCAAATAAAAGCGGTTTAGGCATGCGATAGCTGGACATGCGGGCTACATGACCCACCCAACACAACCTTGCCTCCTGGAGGAGCTCACCGATGGGACTTTGTCCAGATCTTTCAAGGACCTGTGAGCTCCTCACACAATCCAGCCTGGTTAAACCCAGGATGGGTCATAGGCAGGCCAGCCTCAGTATTTATAACCAGCGCAGTTGTTCCATTAAGGGGGGTTCACGTTTCACATGCATAGAGAAGAGAAGGGATGACCGAGAAAACCTGAAGCTTCTTGTGGAGAGACAGACCAGGTAGCTTCCACACAGCATGGTGCAGCTGATGAAAAGACAATGCCAGTTTAACACGTAGGCTTTCGTGACTAATATCATTCATGATAGAGGTTTTTTTGGGTTAGATCGCGCAAATATATGTGTTGTTAAAAACCCGCCACCACCCGACACAGCCAACTAGTAAGGGTTGTCACGTAAATATTGCCGCTCGACTGATTCGGAGTGAGACCTCTGCTGTCAAACCAGAGCTGGTCATGAGCACACTGCCCAGGTATGGAAAATTCTCCACTCTCTCCACAACTGCCCCAATTGGGAGTTGCAGGGGTGGAGTGCCCCATGGCACAAAATACCCAGGCAGGTGCTTAGTTTTGGTGGAGCTGATGGTAAGGCCCCACCTCTTAGTGCCACGCTCCAGGTTCAGCAACAGCACCTCCAACTCCTCCTCTGAGTGAGCAGCAATTACCAGATCATCGGCATACGTAACATGATTGACCAATAGGGAGCCATCCCTTGACCACACCCGGGCATCGATCAGCCTCCCATTGTATCCGTACTCGATGTAAATTCCTCCGGTACAGCCATCGAAGGCTTCACAAATTACGTGGTTGAAATAGATGTTAAATAATGTGGAAGCCAGAGGACATCCCTGTCGCACCCCAACGTGAACAGGAAATGGCTCTGACTCCCAGCCACGTAGTTTAACCCGGGCCTGCCCACCATCATGAAGGTCCTTAATGATTGTGAGCAGAGAGTCAGGGACTCCGAAAGTTTGAAGAACAACCCAGAGCCCAGGCCTACTGATGGTACCATAGGCCTTAACCAGGTCAATAAAGCAAAGATGTGATCATGTTGGAATTCCCGACACCTCTATTGTAGCAGACGGACAGAAAATATGGCATCTGTGCAGGGCGGCCCTTTCCTGTAACCCACATACAGACCCATAGACTCACATAGAGACCCATAGACTGACAGAGAGACCTATATACCCACGTAGACGCCCGTAGACTCGCAGAGAGACCCACGAAGTCTTGATGGACGAACGGATATTGTTGTTGATTTTCGGAGGCACGGAATGGACCGAGTTCTGCTTAACGGCGCTTTGACCCAGAACGGAAGGAATGTGATCACGGTCTGCCGCTTGGCTCCCACAAGGTCCCACGGGACCCACCAGGTGACCCAGGTGGTAGCAATTGTTCGCCAACTCTCTCTCGCTCTCCCTCGCTTTGCTCTCTCTCTTGGCCACTCTTTCACTCTCTCTTTTGCCCACTCTTTCACTCTCTCTCTCGCAATCACTCTCTTACTCTCGCTTTTACTCTCTCTATCTCGCTCTCTCACTTTTATTCTCTCTCTCTTGCCCACTCTTTCGCTCTCTCGCTCTCTCTATCGCTCTCTCGCTCTCTCTATCGCTCTTTCGCTCTCTCTCTCTATCGCTCTTTCGCTCTCTCTCACTCTCTCACTCTCTCACTCTCTCACTCTCTCACTCTCTTGCTCTCTTGCTGTCTCTATCGCTCTTTCGCTCTCTCTCGCTCTCTCACTCTCTCGCTCTCTTGCTCTCTCTATCGCTCTTTCGCTCTCTCTCTATCGCTCTTATGCTCTCTCGCTCTCTTTCCCTCTATCGCTCTCTTTCTCCCCCTCTCTCTCTCTAGCACGTTTATTTAGTTTCTGCCAACGAGTTTGACGTTTTTTGGGGCACCGAATGCTTTGGTGCTGAGATCACGGAGACTTTGAACTCGTCGGCTCGGCCCAAACCCACCCCCCACCCCCCACCCCCAAAAATCCACCTCACCCCCGCCCCCCACGAATATCCGCAGGCATTTTCACTTCATTTTAACTTTCCACGCAATTACAACGATGCCAGCCGGCAACGCCGCACCACCACCATCGCGTAGCGCTCACTCGCTCGCTCGCCTAGAGAGAGGCACTCCGAGAGAGAGAGAGGGGGGACGACTCAGAGACAGAGAGAGGGAATAGATCCACTTCAGGGGTGGATGGATTCACTTCAGGAATGGACGGATCCACTTCAGCTGTGGATGGATAGCGCTGATTGCGTCCGTTCCCGCAGCGCCAGTCGGCGTGAGTCACTGCGGCGGCGGCTGCTGGTTGCCCTCTCCCTGGTCAACCCCAAAGCCCTGTCGGTAACCGCCCCCGCCCTCACCCCCACACAGACGTGGACGAGTGTCTGAGCCTGCCGTGCGCCCACGGCGACTGCGTCAACTCCGTCGGCTCCTACTCATGCCGGTGCTACAAGGGGTTCCAGTCGGTGCCAGCCAAGACCTCCTGCATAGGTAGCCCACGTGGCACCGGCGCCGCCACGATGCATACCGTCCCCCCCCCCCCCCGGCAACACCGTGGTCGCCCGGCAACCCCAGGGTCGCCCGGTAACCCCATGGGTCGCCCGGTAACACCGGCGTTGCCCGGCAACCCCCGGGGTCGCCCGTCAACCCTGCACGACCTGACCGTGGGGTTAGCGCTACGCTGCGCTACGAACCCAAAGGACCCGAGTTCGATTCCCCTCGCTGCCCAACACCGGTGACGATTATCTGAACTGGTCCTGGGCCTCCCCTAGGTCGACTCGGCCTCAAACGAGTACCTGGTGTGGGCGTGTGAGCGTCGCCACCGGGGAGACAAAGGCGACCGGGCGTGGTGCTTTGCCGCCAACCCGCTCGATGTGCCGCAGTGCCGGCCTTCACAGGTGCTGCTGCTCGCCAACAGCACTTGCCCCAACAGTCTGTAACAGGCTACACGGGGAATCTTTGTCTTTGTGTGGCCCTCCACTCCACAAACCCGGAGGAGGTAGCAGCGAGGGGTTGGTGGATTGGACAAATGGCTCAAATGTCGCCGGGCATGCCGGAGGAGCCGTAGCCCCTGGCTCGCCCCCACAATGCAGTGCAGCAGAGTGTGCGCTGACGTCATCGGGTCCCCTTACGCACGGGATCGAGCGTTGCCCCCTCTCGTGTTGTTGTGTCGTGGCCGTGTTTGCGTTCCCTTGCTGTGATCGACGCCTTCCCCCCCCCCCCCCGCCGCCGCCGCCGCCCTTCGCCCAGACATCGACGAGTGCGTTCAGAACGGGCAGCTGTGCCGTAACGGGCGCTGCGTCAACACCGAGGGGAGCTTCCAGTGCATCTGCAGCGCCGGCTTCGACCTCACGTCCGACGGGCGCAACTGCGTGGGTGGGTGACGTGCCCCTCCATCCGTTCATCAACCTCGGTCCGTCCCTCCGTGCGTGCGTCCCTCCGTCTGTCTATCTGTCCATCCATCTGTCCCTCCGTCTGTCCCTCTGTCCAACCCTCCATCCATCCCTTTGTCTGTCCGTCCCTCCATCTGTCTATCTGTTCACGCGTCCATTCTTCCGCCCGTCCGTCCCTCCCTCTGTCTATCTGTAAATCCATCTGTCCCTCTGTCTGTCCCTCTGTCCAACCCTCCATCCATCCCTTTGTCTGTCCGTCCCTCCGTCTGTCTATCTGTTCACGCGTCCATTCTTCCACCCGTCCATCCCTCCGTCTGTCTATCTGTTCATGCGTCCATTCCTCCGCCCGACCGTCCCTCCGTCTGTCTATCTGTCAATCCATCTGTCCCTCCATCTGTCCGTCACTCCGTGCATCCCTCTGTCCATCCCTTTGTCCGTCCGCGCGTCCCTCCGTCTGTCTATCTGTCCATCCATCTGTCCCTCCGTCTGTCCCTCTGTCCAACCCTCCATCCATCCCTTTGTCTGTCCGTCCCTCCGTCTGTCTATCTGTTCACGCGTCCATTCCTCCGCCCGTCCGTCCTTCCGTCTGTCTATCTGTAAATCCATCTGTCCCTCCGTCTGTCCCTCTGTCCAACCCTCCATCCATCCCTTTGTCTGTCCGTCCCTCCGTCTGTCTATCTGTTCACGCGTCCATTCTTCCACCCGTCCATCCCTCCGTCTGTCTATCTGTTCACGCGTCCATTCCTCCGCCCGACCGTCCCTCCGTCTGTCTATCTGTCAATGCATCTGTCCCTCCGTCTGTCCGTCACTCCGTGCGTCCCTCTGTCCATCCCTTTGTCCGTCCGCGCGTCCCTCTGTCTGTCTATCTGTCCATCCATCTGTCCCTCCGTCTGTCCCTCTGTCCAACCCTCCATCCATCCCTTTGTCTGTCCGTCCCTCCGTCTGTCTATCTGTTCACGCGTCCATTCCTCCGCCCGTCCGTCCTTCCGTCTGTCTATCTGTCAATCCATCTGTCCCTCCGTCTGTCCCTCTGTCGAATCCTCCATCCATCCCTTTGTCTGTCCGTCCCTCCGTCTGTCTATCTGTTCACGCGTCCATTCCTCCGCCCGTCCGTCCCTCCGTCTGTCTATCTCTCAATCCATCTGTCCCTCCGTCTGTCCCTCTGTCCAACCCTCCATCCATCCCTTTGTCTGTCCGTCCCTCCGTCTGTCTATCTGTTCACGCGTCCATTCCTCCGCCCGTCCATCCTTCCGTCTGTCTATCTGTCAATCCATCTGTCCCTCCGTCTGTCCCTCTGTCCAACCCTCCATCCATCCCTTTGTCTGTCCGTCCCTCCGTCTGTCTATCTGTTCACGCGTCCATTCCTCCGCCCGTCCGTCCTTCCGTCTGTCTATCTGTCAATCCATCTGTCCCTCCGTCTGTCCCTCTGTCGAATCCTCCATCCATCCCTTTGTCTGTCCGTCCCTCCGTCTGTCTATCTGTTCACGCGTCCATTCCTCCGCCCGTCCGTCCCTCCGTCTGTCTATCTGTCAATCCATCTGTCCCTCCGTCTGTCCCTCTGTCGAATCCTCCATCCATCCCTTTGTCTGTCCGTCCCTCCGTCTGTCTATCTGTTCACGCGTCCATTCTTCCACCCGTCCGTCCCTCCGTCTGTCTATCTGTCAATCCATCTCTCCCTCCGTCTGTCCCTCTGTCGAATCCTCCACCCATCCCTGTGTCTGTCCGTCCCTCCGTCTGTCTATCTGTTCACGCGTCCATTCCTCCGCCCGTCCATCCCTCCGTCTGTCTATCTGTTCACGCGTCCATTCCTCCGTCCGTCCGTCCCTCCGTCTGTCTATCTGTTAATCCATCTGTCCCTCCGTCTGTCCCTCTGTCGAATCCTCCATCCATCCCTTTGTCTGTCCGTCCCTCCGTCTGTCTATCTGTTCACGCGTCCATTCTTCCGCCCGTCCATCCCTCCGTCTGTCTATCTGTTCACGCGTCCATTCCTCCGCCCGTCCGTCCTTCCGTCTGTCTATCTGTCAATCCATCTGTCCCTCCGTCTGTCCCTCTGTCGAATCCTCCATCCATCCCTGTGTCTGTCCGTCACTCCGTCTGTCTCTCTGTCCATCCCTCCATCTCTCCCCCCCCGTCCTTCCCTCCGCCCCCCCCCCCCCCCGCCTCGTGTACCGTCCCGGTCTTCGTTCCGCTCGCTATAGCAGCCCCTCGCCCCGGCAGGTCTGTTCAAGGCGACTGTGGTGTCTGTGTCGTTTAAGATCACGACGAGTGCACCACCACCAACATGTGCCTCAACGGGATGTGCATCAACGAGGATGGCAGCTTCAAGTGCATCTGCAAGCCGGGCTTCTCCCTGGCTGCCGGCGGACGATATTGCCTCGGTAACCGTTACTGCCTCGGATACCGTTACTGCCCCGGTAACCGTTACTGCCTCGGTAACCGTTACTGCCTCGGATACCGTTACTGCCTCGGATACCGATATTGCCTCGGTAACCGTTACTGCCTCGGATACCGTTACTGCCTTGGTAACCGTTACTGCCTCGGTAACCGTTACTGCCTCGGATACCGATACTGCCTCGGATACCGATACTGCTTCGGATACCGTTACTGCCTCGGATACCGTTACTGCCTTGGTAACCGTTACTGCCTCGGTAACCGTTACTGCCTCGGATACCGAAACTGCCTCGGATACCGATACTGCCTCGGATACCGTTACTACCCCGGTAACCGTTACTGCCTCGGTAACCGTTACTGCCTCGGATACCGATACTGCCTCGGATACCGTTACTGCCCTGGTAACCGTTACTGCCCCGGTAACCGTTACTGCCTCGGATACCGGTACTGCCTCGGATACCGTGACTGCCTCGGATACCGATATTGCCTCGGTAACCGTTACTGCCTCGGATACCATTACTGTCCCGGTAACCGTTATTGCCTCGGTAACCGTTACTGCCTCGGATACCGTTACTGCCTTGGTAACCGTTACTGCCTTGGTAACCGTTACTGCCTCGGATACCGATACTGCCTCGGATACCGATACTGCTTCGGATACCGTTACTGCCTCGGATACCGTTACTGCCTTGGTAACCGTTACTGCCTCGGTAACCGTTACTGCCTCGGATACCGAAACTGCCTCGGATACCGATACTGCCTCGGATACCGTTACTACCCCGGTAACCGTTACTGCCTCGGTAACCGTTACTGCCTCGGATACCGTTACTGCCTCGGTAACCGTTACTGCCTCGGATACCGATACTGCCTCGGATACCGTTACTGCCCTGGTAACTGTTACTGCCCCGGTAACCGTTACTGCCTCGGATACCGTGACTGCCTCGGATACCGTTACTGCCCTGGTAACCGTTACTGCCCCGGTAACCGTTACTGCCTCGGATACCGAGAATGCCTCGGATACCGTTACTGCCCTGGTAACCGTTACTGCCCCGGTAACCGTTACTGCCTCGGATACCGTGACTGCCTCGGATACCGTTACTGCCTCGGATACCGTTACTGCCTCGGATACCGTGACTGCCCCGGTAACCGTTACTGCCCCGGTAACCGCGGCGACGCACGGCGGGCGCTCTTTTGTCCTTGCTCGGCAGCGGCGTGGTCCAGGAGCTCGATGCTAGGTGTGGAGATCCCAGCTGCTGCTGATGATGATGACGATGATGCTGATGACGATGATGATGATGATGATGACGATCATGGTGATGATGATGATGCTGCTGATGCTGATGATGATGCTGATGATGATACTGATGCTGCTGATGATGCTGACGATGATGCTGACGATGATGCTGATGATGATGCTGCTGATGATGCTGCCGATGATGCTGATGATGCTGATGATGATGCTGCCGATGCTGCCGATGATGCTGATGCTGATGATGATGCTGGCGCGGCGGCGCGCGGTGAACGCCGCCACTCGGCGAGACCAAAAGCACTGCCCGGGCGTGGCCGGCCGGCCGCTTAGAGCGCCACGGTGCCACCCTCCGTGGCTGCGGCTCGCGAACAGCGCCCACCCCGACAGTCTGCGAAGGCCACACGGCCGGGAGGAGGTGACCTTTGTGTCTGCGTCTCCGCCCGGCACCTCCCCGGCGCACCTCCACAGACGTGGACGAGTGCCAGACGGTGGGAATCTGCATGAACGGGCGCTGCGTCAACGGCGAAGGGTCCTTCCGCTGCGAGTGTCCGCCGGGGCTGGTCGTGAGCAGCGACGGGCGAGTCTGCGTGGGTGAGGCCACGGCCCCCCACCCCCACCCCCACCCCCACCCCACCCCCGCGCACACAGCCACCGCTACTACTCCTAACATCACAAAAACAACCACAAAAAGTAGTTGTAAATCCCTTATCAGTGCCCCTATCTTATCACAGACCAATTCAGACCTTGATGGTCACCCCGCGCCCCTTATAAATCGCAACGTTCATCCTACAAAGTTCCATCACGAGGGAGCAACGCAAAACAAATAGACACAAACTAATGTTGTTGCCCCGTATTGAAACGGCTGTACGCCGTATGGGCCTGAAAACTCAATTTCCCTGTACGAGAATACGGGTGGGTCAACCGTACGGGGTTGACAGGTGCGCACAACGCCCACAACCACCACAATCGCTTACCCACTACTCGCAGGGTGGGCCATAAGTAACTACACTGATTTGGAAATCGTGGTAGTTTGTGTTCAATTATTTTGTCCAAAAATATATAATGTTTGCAGAAGTAACAAAGTAGAAGCCCTGGGCTGTTGGCGATGAAACCGGCAAAGACACAATCCTGAGCAGCGTGCGAGAACAGCTGAAATTCACTTGGAGGGGGGGGACAAACAATCGCTCCGTTATCCCAACACGGAGGGGTGGAGAGAGAGAGAGAGGGAGATGAGGGGTTGGTGGACCCGCCTATAGATCTGTGAAACTGCCAAGCCCATTGGGCTGCTGCCGGTGGACTGGAGATGGCATTACAGGAAGTGGGCACTTAAAACCATCTGTGTGGACCTTTTCACGTTATGTCTTGCTGGGCTTTCCATCGTGTACTCCAATTTGGGCAATGTCCCGCGCATTTTTGCTCAACGGTTTCGATTTTTTTGGACATTGGCGTGTCGACTGCGCACCGCATTGCCACGGGAAGTTTCCGGTAGGTGTATGCCGTCATCGGGCAAAATAAAATGCGCCGTCATTCTTTCCACCCACGTGACTTTTACCGAAATAACCCAGAGAGTGTGGATTCCTGAAGGTTCGACCCGCTGAGAAGGCTCCACGTTGCGTGTGCGCGCGCCTGTGCCCAGACACACACATGCGCAGCACGTGCTACGCGGCCTACAGGAAGGGACAGTGCGTGCGCCCGATGCCCGGAGCCGTCACCAAGTCGGAGTGCTGCTGCGCCGGGCCAGACCACGCGTTCGGAGAGCCCTGCCACCCGTGCCCCCCACTCAACTCCGGTACGGCCCCCCCCCCCCCCCACCCCCCACCCCCCCCACCCCCACAACGCGCACGCCGCTCGCTCGCACGGTGTCACCACCATCACCGCCATCACCATCAACCACCAACACCACCATCGTCACCAACACCACCATCATCACGCAACCAACACCACCATCACCACGATCACCACTACCACCATCATCTGTGCAGAACCGCCCTTTCCTGAAACCGCATTGGGGATCCGCAAGCCTCTCCTCAGCGTGCCTGGCAAGGCGATGTTGAATAATCCTTGCCAGGACCTTTCCCGGCACACTGAGGAGTGAGATGCCCCTGTAGTTGTTACAGTCTGTGCGGTCCCCCTTCTTAAAGAGGGGGACCATCAGGGCGTCCTTCCAATCCTGCGGAACCCGTCCAGTGGTCCAGACTGTTGTTATGATGTCATGTAGGGCTGTCTGTGCACAAACGCCACCCTCCCTCAGCATTTTTCTCTGGAGATTATCTCTACCCGGTGCCTTTCCTGGTCTCAGACTCTGGATCGCCTTCTGTACTTCCTCATCAGATGGCACCTCAGTTATCCACTCACAGGGGGTGACGTCTTCCAATATTTGAGGCACTGCAGCCTCAGCAGGGTCATCCCCTTCCCCAAACCCCCACAGAAATGCTTTTTCTCTCTCTGCCTTAGTCTCTATGTCTCTGTCTCTCTCTGCCTCTGTGTCTCTTTGTCTCTATGTCTCTCCGTATCTCCTTCTCTATGCCTATCTCTACCCCTCTCCCTGCCTCTCTGTCTCTCTGTGTCTCTGTGCCTCTGTCTCTGTATCTCTGTCTCTCTCTGCCTCTGTGCCACTATGTCTCTGTGTCTCTATGTCTCTCTCTGTCTCTGTGTCTCTGTATCTCTCTGCCTCTGTGTCTCTATGTCTCTCCGTATCTCCTACCCCTCTCCCTGCCTCTCTGTCTCTCTCTGTCTCTGTGCCTCTCTGCCTCTGTATCTCTCTGTCTCTCTGTCTCTATATATGTCACTCTCTCTGCCTCTGTGTCTCTATGTCTCTGTGTCTCTATGTCTCTCTCTCTGTCTCTCTGTATCTCTCTGCCTCTCTCCATCTCTCGCTCTCTCTCCGTCTCTCTTTCTCTAACCGTGTCTACCCCTGTCGCTCTCTTCTCTGATGCTCTCACTCCGACGTTTCTCTCCCACAGAGGAGTTCCACTCCTTGTGCAGCAGTGGACCGGGAATCACGGCTGACGGGAGAGGTACGCATTCCACTCTTGAGCTTTCACCTGATGTTGAACTTCTTGAGCACCGTACGTTGCCAACCCACACTCGTGGGGGGTGCAGTGTTGAGTCTATGGGCAGTGTTAGTCAATGGGCAGTGTTGAGTCTATGGGCAATGTTGAGTCTATGGGCAGTGTTGAGTCTATGGGCAGTGTTGAGTCTATGGGCAATGTTGAGTCTATGGGCAGTGTTGAGTCTATGGGCAGTGTTGAGTCTATGGGCAGTGTTGAGTCTATGGGCAGTGTTGAGTCTATGGGCAGTGTTGAGTCTATGGGCAGTGTTGAGTCTATGGGCAGTGTTGAGTCTATGGGCAGTGTGAGTCTATGGGCAGTGTTGAGTCTATAGGTAGTGTTAAGTCTATGGGCAGTGTTGAGTCTATGGGCAGTGTTGAGTCTATGGACAGTGTGAGTCTATGGGTAGTGTTGAGTCTATGGGCATTGTGAGTCTATGGGCAGTGTTGAGTCTATGGGCAGTGTTGAGTCTATGGGCAGTGTTGAGTCTATGGGCAGTGTTGAGTCTATGGGTAGTGTTAAGTCTATGGGCAGTGTTGAGTCTATGGGCAGTGTTGAGTCTATGGGCAGTGTGAGTCCATGGGTAGTGTTGAGTCTATGGGTAGTGTTAGTCAATGGGCAGTGTTGAGTCTATGGGTAGTGTTGAGTCTATGGGTAGTGTTGAGTCTATGGGTAGTGTTGAGTCTATGGGCAGTGTGAGTCTATGGGTAGTGTTGAGTCTATGGGCATTGTGAGTCTATGGGCAGTGTTGAGTCTATGGGCAGTGTTGAGTCTATGGGCAGTGTTGAGTCTATGGGCAGTGTTGAGTCTATGGGTAGTGTTAAGTCTATGGGCAGTGTTGAGTCTATGGGCAGTGTTGAGTCTATGGGCAGTGTGTGTCGATAGGCAGTATGTATGTTGAACTTATTTCGCACCGTACGTAGCCAACCGTGCTCATCGGAGGTGCGGAAAAAGACAACTCGGATAATAATATGCACTGTCCTTGAATTTGATTACCAATCAAATTTGATTACCAATTTGATTACCAATCAAATTCAAGGACAGTGCATATTATCAGAGTTGTCTTTTTTGTTTGCATTTTGACTGCTTGTGTTGTGGTTATTGCAAACATGATGCCTTGAATAAAGGTGTCAGTTTTTTGTGCCAGTTAAAAGGGTAAAACCTATTCCTATAACAACAAGCAGTTTTGAAGAAATGAGTTTGTCAATCTAGATGATGATTTAAAAATGCATAATATCGGAAGGAAGAGCATTTCAAGTGATTAATAGTGCACGTGATGGAATAAGTGAATGTGAGAGATACCATCTCAATGGGATCTCGTCTGGATATAAAAAGTGGGTCGGTAGGTGAGTGAGTGGTTGAATGGGTGAGTGGGGGGGATGAGTAGGTGAGTGGGTGGGTGAGTGGGTGGGTGAGTAGGTGGGTTGGTGAGTGAGTGGTGGGTGAGTGAGTGGGTGAGTGAGTGAGTGGGTTAGTGTGTGAGTGGGTCAGTAGGTGAGTGAGTGAGTAGGTGGGTCAGTGGGTGAGTGAGTGATGTGGTGGGTGAGTGAGTGAGTGGGTTAGTGTGTGAGTGGGTCAGTAGGTGAGTGAGTGAGTAGGTGGGTCAGTGGGTGAGTGAGTGAGTGGGTTAGTGTGTGAGTGGGTCAGTAGGTGAGTGAGTGAGTGAGTAGGTGGGTCTGTAGGTGAGTGAGTGGGTTAGTGTGTGAATGGGTCAGTAGGTGAGTGAGTGAGTAGGTGGGTAAGTGGGTGAGTGAGTGAGTGAGTGGGTTAGTGTGTGAGTGGGTCAGTAGGTGAGTGAGTGAGTGGGTTAGTGTGCGAGTGGGTCAGTAGGTGAGTGAGTGCGTGTCTTTGGATGGGTGGGTTGATGAGTCAGTGGTGAGTGAGTGAGTGATGATCTCAAGCAGCCCATTGTTCTGGAACCTCATTGTTCTGGAACCTCATTGTGCTGGAACCTCATTGTTCTGGAACCCCATTGTTCTGGAACCCCATTGTTCTGGAACGCCATTGTTCTGGAACCTCATTGTTCTGGAACCCCCATTGTTCTGGAACCTCATTGTTCCGGAACCTCATTGTTCTGGCGCTATATGGGAGACAGCCACAGTTTAAAGTTTCGACCGACGACAGCGATAACGATGTTCATAATCAGCTCGTGAATATTACGTCTCTCTCCCCCCCCTCCCCGCTCAACCGCTTATCCCCTCGGCTGCCTCCTCCCCGCCCTTCCCACCCCGGCGTGTGATCAGACATCAACGAGTGCGCGCTGGACCCGGACATCTGCCCGAACGGCGTGTGTGAGAACCTACGCGGGAGCTACCGCTGCATCTGTAACATTGGCTACGAAACGGAGCTCACGGGCAAGCAGTGCGTCGGTCGGTACCGCAACGTCCACTCGCTCGCTCGCTCGCCTACTCACTCGCCTGCTCACTCGCCTCCTCCCTCACCTGTTCGTTCACTCGCTCGTCCACCCGCTCGCTCGCCTACTCACTCGCCTGTCCGTTCACTCACTCGTTCACTCGCTCGTCCACCCGCTCGCTCGCCTACTCAATCGCCTACGCACTCGCCTCCTCCCTCGCCTGTTCGTTCACTCACTCGTTCACTCACTCGTTCACTCACTCGTCCACCCGCTCGCTCGCCTACTCAATCGCCTACTCCCTTGCCTGCTCCCTCGCCTGCCCCCTCGCCTGTCCGTTCACTCACTCGTCCACTCGCTCGTCCACCCGCTCGCTCACTTGCCCACTCACTTGCCCACTCACTCGCTCACACGCCCGCTCACCCACACGCTCGCCCACACTCATTCAATCACTCGCTCACCCACCCGCTCGCCCACCCATTCACTCACTCGCTCGCTCACCCACTCACCCACTGATTCACTCATCTACTCACCCACCCGCTCAATCATTTACTCACTTAGCCACTCACCTTCTCACCCACTCATGCACTCTCCTACTTGCCCACCTCCTAACCCACTGACTCACCCGCTCACTCTCTCACCACTGGTGGGCCCATCAACCTCATCATCAGACTATCAACTTTGTTTTCATTGTTCACCGGGTACGGCCCAGTTTAGCTGCTATTTACAGAAATTTATTTTTTCACGACAAATGATAGCTCATCGAAGTGGGCTTGTCATCATCATCGTCACCACGTGTACATTTATAGCAGCAGCCAAACACTCTAAACGCGTGGTGACGTTGATTCTAAATGTGGAGGGGAGAACCGGAGGACCCCGGAGAAAAATGCACGCCACCACGGAGAGAGAGAGACACACAAACTCCAAATATACAGCAGCAGGCGTCAGGGTCGGGATCGAACTCACGACCTCCTGCGTACCAGGCGAGGTAGTTAACATCTCCTAGCCACCGTGATGATGATGATGATGAGAGACACACAAACTCCAAATATACAGCAGCAGCAGGCGTCAGGGTCGGGATCGAACCCACGACCTCCTGTGTACCAGGCGAGGTAGTTAACATCTCCCAGCCACCGTGATGATGATGACAGACAGAGACACGCAAACTCCAAATATACAGCAGCAGGCATCAAGGTCGGGATCGAACCCACGACTTCCTGTGTACCCGGCGAGGTAGTTAACATCTCCTAGCCACCGTGATGATGATGACGATGAGAGACACCGCAAACTCCAAATATACAGCAACAGGCGGCAGGATCGAACCCACTACCTCCTGTGTACCAGGCGAGGGAGATAACATCTCCTAGCCACCTTGGCATGTACAAAAACAAAGATCCCCCACATAGCCTGAACAGACTGCAGAGAAAATTCTGTTAGCGAGTACACATTAACACACGTACACACGAGTACACACACACGCACGCGTACACACGAGTACGCACGCACACGCACGTGTACACACGAGTACACACACACACACGCACGTGTACACACGAGTACACACACACACGTGTACACATGAGTACACACACACGCACGCGTACACACGAGTACCCACACACGCACACATGTACACACGAGTACACACACACACGCACGTGTACACATGAGTACACACACACACACGTGTACACACGAGTACACACACACGTGTACACATGAGTACACACACACGCACGCATACACATGAGTACACATACACGCACGTGTACACACGAGTACACACACACACACGCACGTGTACACACGAGTACACACACACACGTGTACACATGAGTACACACACACACGCACGCGTACACACGAGTACCCACACACGCACACATGTACACACGAGTACACACACACGCACGTGTACACATGAGTACACACACACACGTGTACACACGAGTACACACACACGTGTACACATGAGTACACACACACGCACGCATACACATGAGTACACACACACGCACGTGTACACACGAGTACACACACACGCACGTGTACACACGAGTACACACACACACGCACGTGTACACACGAGTACACACACACACGCACGTGTACACACGAGTACACACACACACGCACGAGTACACACGAGTACACACACACACACACGTGTACACACGAGTACACACACACACGCACGTGTACACACGAGTACACACACACACGCACGTGTACACACGAGTACACACACACACACACGTGTACACACGAGTACACACACACACGCACGAGTACACACGGCGCCCCCCGCGTCACGCGAGAGAGGGGCGCCCCCCCCCCCCCCGCGTCACGTGAGAGAGGGGAGCCCCCCCCCCGCGTCACGCGAGAGAGGGGCGCCCCCCCCGCGTCACGTGAGAGAGGGGAACCCCCCCGCGTCACGTGAGAGAGGGGCGCCCCCCCGCGTCACGTGAGAGAGGGGCTCCCCCCCCCACGTCACGTGAGAGGGGCTCCCCCCGCTGTCGCCGCTCGGCGTCTGAGCTTGCGGGGTGGTGCCGTGGTGTGCCGCCCTGGGGGGTGAGGGGGACGACCGCCCCTAGCGGCAGCTGTCCCTGTGCAGCACGAGGTGGCTGAGATATGTTCAGCTGATTGTTGTTGTTGTCGTTGTTGTCGTTGTCGTCATCTTCGTTGTCGTTGATGTTGTTGTTGTCGTCATTGTTGTTGTCGTCTTAGTTGTCGTCGTTGATGTTGTTGTTGTTGTCATCGTCATTGTCGTCGTTGTTGATGTTGTCGTTGTTGTCGTTCATGTTGTTGTCATTGTCATTGTCGTCGTTGATGTTGTTGTCATTGTCGTCGTAGTTGTTGTTGTGGTCGTTGTCGTCATTGTTGTCGTTATCGTTGTTGTCGTCATTGTCGTTGTCATCGTCATTGTCATCATTGTCGTTGTCATTATTGTTGTTGTTGTCATTGTCATCATTGTCGTTGTTGTTGTCATTGTCGTCGTAGTTGTTGTTGTGGTCGTTGTCGTCATCGTTGTCGTCATCGTTGTTGTCATTGTCATCATTGTCGTTGTCATTATTGTTGTCGTTGTCGTCATTGTCGTTGGTATTATTGTCATCGTTGTCGTCATTGTTGTTGTCATTGTTGTCGTTATCGTTGTTGTCGTCATTGTCGTCGTAGTTGTTGTTGTGGTCGTTGTTGTCATTGTCATCATTGTCGTTGTCATTATTGTTGTCGTTGTTGTCATTATTGTTGTCGTTGTTGTCGTGGTTGTTGTCATCGTTGTCGTCATTGTTGTCGTTATCGTTGTTGTTGTCATTGTCATCATTGTCGTTGTCATTATTGTTGTCGTTGTTGTTGTCATCGTTATCGTTGTTGTTGTCATTGTCATCATTGTCGTTGTCATTATTGTTGTCGTTGTTGTCGTTGTTGTTGTCGTCGTCGTTGTCGTCGTCATCGTCGTCGTCGTCGTCGTCGTCGTGGTTCTCATTCCCGTCGTGTGGCGGCGTGCTTAGACGTGGACGAGTGCTCGCGGCGCCGGCAGCTGTGCGACAACGGGCTGTGCCGCAACACCCCCGGCAGCTACAGCTGCTCCTGCCCCGGCGGCTTCCTCTTCCACGCCGAGTCCGACACGTGCGAGGGTAAGGTTCGCTCCCGGAGCGCGGCTCCTCTGCACCGACGCCCTCTTCATTCCGCGCGGCCACGCGGCCACACGGACTCACGGTCACACGGTCACACGGTCACACGGCCACGTGACCACACGGACTCCTGACCACACGGACTCCTGGCCACACGGCCACACGGACTCAAGGACTCCCGGCCACACGGACTCACAGACTCACGGTCACACGGACTCCTGGCCACGCGGCCACACGGACTCACGGACTCCTGGCCACGCGGCCACACGGCCACATGGCCTTACGGCCTCACGGACTCACGGACTCACGGTCACACGGACTCCTGGCCACACGGCCACACGGCCACACGGACTCCCGGCCACGCGGCCACACGGACTCACGGTCACACGGCCACATGAGGCCTACCACTTTGAAAACGCCCCCACCCCCCCCCCCTCAGACGATATTTGTCCATCAGCATATTAGCAGCACTAATCTGGTCCTAGAGGGGGCAGAATATTTGTGACCTGGCAAGGAGGACTGGCACGCGAAACTAAACTAAGACAAACATTTTTTAATTTCACCAGGTAAGGTCCCCACAGAAGCGACCTGTGCCATCACGAATGATCGCTCAGCGAAGTGGGCTCATCATCATCATTGTCATCATCACGTGGACATTTCTAGCAGCCACATACTCTGAACGCGCGATGTTGGTTCTAAATGTGGAGGGAAAAACCGGAGGACCTGGAGAAAAATCCACACGACCAAGGCGGAGGGAGAAACACGCACGACCTCTCGTATACCAGGCGAGGTAGTTAATATCTCCTCGTCACCGCAGCGCCCTTACTCCGTTACACCACAACCTTGTGTGGCGTAACAGGGTCAACGTTCAGAGTCAACGTACTTCAAATATTTATTTTAACGCCTCCGGAAAGGACTTGCTTAGCACAGTCAAAAACAAATCTTGGAAACGCGCATGCACGCACCAACGCATGCGGACACGTGGGCACGTGGGCACGCACGTGGGCACGTGGGCACGTGGGCACGCACGTGGGCACGTGGGCACGCACGTGGGCACGTACGTGGGCACGTGCGCGCGCGTTTGCGTTGCGTTTGATTGACGCCGCTCTCTTGCAGTAGCCGAGGGCCCACGGGGAGTGTTTGGGGGGGGGGCTCCTGTGGGGTTTTTGCTGCATCGTGGAACGGCTCCCACGCCCCCACGCCCCCCCCCTCCCCGCCCGCCCCCCCCCCCCTCCATTTTCGCCCCGTGAGGCCGTGAAAAAGTTGGCGGGGAGTGGGCAGAGAGGAATGTCTGGCGGGCTCCGGGAGTGGCGGCCGCGTGAACTCGCCGAAGCTTTCCTTGAGAAAATGAACGCCGCCACGCGAGTCCGGCTCCTACCGCGGCAGCTCCGTGCCAGGGTTTTGGTTTTTTTTGTTTTCCCCCCCCCACGTCGATTGGCGATGTGGAGAGCGAAGTCCAGGTGCCTGCTTGGGGGAAAGTCCGCCCCTGGGTTTGCGGCGAGGTGAATTGACAATTACAAATACAAAACTGCGCTCTGGATTCCCGCTCTAATGATCTCAGACTTTATTGTCATCTGCGAATAATTCCAGCCACCTGAATACGACGCTTTTATTGTAACACACTGCGGGAGTCCAAACGGGAAACGTCACCATGGCTTTTGCTGGGTTTTTCTTGCAATACGCTCCAGGTTCCTCAATGTGAAACTCCGCTCCTGATATTGTTATTATGGTTTGTTGTTGTTGTTATACATATTCTTAGTTATTTTTTATTGTTTTATATATATTTTATTATTTTGTCGTTTCCCTTCAACGTGACTTTACCGAAAGAACTAAGAATATGAATCACTGCAGTCACGAAAGCTTTAAATCAAAATTTATTGTTGTTGTTGTTGATGTTGCTATTAAGACCCTACCCGGGGCTCCGGAATCGACTATACTCCACAGGGGGCATTTCACGAAAGAAAGAAAGAAGGTCAAATCGCTCGAGATTCCTGAAAACTTTTCTCAGTGGCAAGGCGGAGGGATGGCGGGGCAGGACGCGAGCGGACGAGCGGGCGGGCGGGAACCAAACCAAAAAAAACCCCCGGCATATCTGCGTAATTATTTTAAAACGCAACAAGTTCCGACGGGGGGAAACAAATACGGTTCAAGCAACAAAGCGGAATGATGTCGGCGGGCTAATAGCGGCCAAGGAGGAGGGGAGGGGGGGGTGGTGTCGCGGCCGCCGCACGAGCAGATGTGGGAAGTTGGCCGCGGTGGGCGACTTTGGGGTTTTTGCGGGCGGCGGCGGCGGCGTCGGCGGCCCAGACAATGGGGCCTCTGTGAGCGCAGCGACCGGGCGGGGGGAGGGGAAGGGGGGGAGGGGGGAAGGGGGGAGGGGAAGGGGGGGGAGGAGATGGGAAGGGGGGGGAGAGGGGATGGGGAAGGGGGGGAGGAGAGGGGAAGGGGGGAGAGGGAAGGGGGGAGAGGGGAGGGGAAGGGGGGGAGGAGAGGGGAAGGGGGGGGGAGAGGGGAGGGGGGGTGGGGAAGGGGGGGGAGAGGAAGGGGGGGGGAGAGGGGGGGAAGGGGGGAGAGGGGAAGGGGGGGAGAGGGGGGGGAAGGGGGGGGAGAGGGGAGGGGGAGAGGGGGAGAGGGGAAGGAGGGGGAGGAGGGGGAGGAGAGGCGAAGGGGGGGGGAACAACAACAACAACCACCACCACCACCACACTGCAGATCACAACAACACCACCAAGTAATGGTGAGGTCATCACTCTACGTCTCACCGCAGTGGAGAGTGGGGAGTGGTAGCGCGGCGGGTTCCCGAGTTCGATTCCCGCCCACCGGTGCCGCGCCTCCCCTAGGTCGACTCAGCCATCAAACGAGTATCCTGGTCCGGTGTGTGGCCACCATCGGGGAGACAAAGGCGGCCGGGCGTGGTGCTGTCCACCCCCCCCCCCCCCCCCCATCGCGTGCCACGGTTCCGGCCCTTCACAGGTGGTGCTGCTGGCTCTCCGATGGCCCTTGCCGTGAGAGTCTGTCGAAGGCTACGCGGGGGACCTTTGTCTTTGTGTGTCGCCGCAGATGTGGATGAGTGTGAATCGAGCCCCTGCGTCAACGGCGTCTGCAAGAACACGCCGGGATCCTTCGTGTGCGAGTGCCCCTCCACCAGCAAGCTGGACGCCACGGGCACCATCTGTGTCGGTACGGGCATGCGGATTGGGTGGGCTGGTGGGTCGGTGGGTGAGTGAGTAGCTGGGTGGGTGGGTGAGTATCTGAGTGGGTGGGTGAGTGGGTGAGTGAGAAGTTGAGTGGGTGAGTGAGTGGCGGAGTTGGTTGGTGGTTGAGCCGCCGAGTGAGGAGTGGGTGACTGTGTTTGTGAGCGAGTGGCCGAGTGAGCCGGCGAGTGGCTTGGCGAGAGGGTGAGTAGCTGGGTGGGTGGGTGAGTCTCTGGGTGGGTGGGTGAGTGGGTGAGTGAGTGGCGGAGTTGGTTGGTGATTGAGCCGCCGAGTGAGGAGTGGGTGACTGTGTTTGTGAGCGAGTGGCCGAGTGAGCCGGCGAGTGGCTTGGCGAGAGGGTGAGTAGCTGGGTGGGTGGGTGAGTATCTGGGTGGGTGGGTGAGTGGGTGAGTGAGTGGCGGAGTTGGTTGGTGATTGAGCCGCCGAGTGAGGAGTGGGTGACTGTGTTTGTGAGCGAGTGGCCGAGTGAGCCGGCGAGTGGCTTGGCGAGAGGGTGAGTAGCTGGGTGGGTGGGTGAGTATCTGGGTGGGTGGGTGAGTGGGTGAGTGAGTGGCGGAGTTGGTTGGTGATTGAGCCGCCGAGTGAGTGAGTGGGTGACTGTGTTTGTGAGCGAGTGGCCGAGTGAGCAGGCGAGTGGCTTGGCGAGAGGGTGAGCGTGAGCGAGCGTCCCAGCGCCTGAATGAGCGGGTGAGTTTCTTCCTCCTGTCACGTGGCCACGCACCACGGACAGTCCTCCAGCCATCTTCGCTCTCTACCCCCCTCCCCCCTCTCCTATTCTCTATCCACCTCATCGCTCCTCCCCCGGCAGACAGCACCAAGGGCACTTGCTGGCTGAATATCATCGAGAGCCGCTGCGAGGTGAACATCAACGGCGCCACCCTCAAGTCCGAGTGCTGCTCCACGCTCGGAGCCGCCTGGGGCAGCCCCTGCGAGCCCTGCGAGATCGGTGGGCACGTGGGGGACCACGTGGGGGTGGGGGGGTGGGGGGCACGTGAGGGACCACGTGGGGGGGGGGCACGTGAGGGACCACGTGGGGGGGAGTGGAGGTCACGTGAGGGACCACGTGGGGGGGGGGGCACGCTAGGGAACACGTGGGGGGGGCACGTGAGGGACCACGTGGGGGGGGGCACGTGAGGGACCACGTGGGGGGGGCACGTGAGGGACCACGTGGGGGGGGCACGTGAGGGACCACGTGGGGGGGGCACGCTAGGGACTACGTGGGGTGGGGGGCACGTGAGAGACCACGTGGGGGGGCACGCTAGGGAACACGTGGGGGGTGGGGGCACGTGAGGGACCACGTGGGGGTGGGGGGCACGTGAGGGACCACGTGGGGTGGGGGGGGCACGTGAGGGACCGCGTGAGGGACCACGTGGGGGGTGGGGGGCACGCTAGGGACCACGTGGGGGGTGGGGGGCACGCTAGGGACCACGTGGGGGGGGGGCACGTGAGGGACCACGCTAGTGACCACGTGAGGCTTGTGTGAGTGTGTGTATGAGTGTGTGAGTGCGTTGTGTGCAGCTGCAGTGTGGCGGTGTAGCGCTGCGAACCCAGCGAGACACGGGTTCGATTCCCGCTCGCGGCCAACGCCCAGTGACGACCCATCTGAACCGGTCCTGGGCCTCCTCCTCCCCTAGGTCGACTCAGCCTCAAATCAGTCACTGGTGCGGTGGTGCAGACATCGCCGCTGGGGGGGGGGAGACAAAGGCGGCCGGGCGTGGTGCTGTACCCCCCACCCGCCTCGTGCGGCACGGTGCCGGCCTTCGTAGGCGCCCGCTATCACCCCTTGCCCCAACAGTGTGCGAAGGGCTACGCGTGTAGGGGACCTTTGTCTTTTGTGTCCCGGCTGCAGATCCCCTGTGCCGGCGAGGCTTCTCCAGGTCACGTGGCGCTGTCTGCGAAGGTAAAAAAAAAACACACCAGACAAAACTCTCCACGGCCATCGCCACCGCCCGCCGGCCTTGGTTTATCCACTGCTGGATGTCGGCGCCCTCCACACAGCCGGGCCCCGGGGCACGGTCCGTGTCGATCTCGCGGGGTCGAACGAGCCGACCTCACCTCCTGCCACTGGTGACCGGGCAGAGCACGTCGATGGGCTCGCTGGCGCTTGAGAGCCCGGTTTTAATCACAACTCGGTCTGCCTGGGTCTCCGTGTGACTCTCTGGGGGGGGGTCTACGCGAGTCTATGGGTCTCTATGCAGGTCTATAGGTCTCTCTGTGAGTCTATGGGTGTCTGCGTGAGTCTTTGAGTCTCTATGTGAGTTTACGGGTCTCTGTGTGGGTGTATATGGGTCTCTGTGTGAGTCTATGGGTCACTGTGTGGGTCTCTATGGGCCTCTACGTGAGTCTATGGGTCTCTATGGGTCTCTATGCGAGTCCATGGGTATCTGTATGGGTCTCTATGGGTCTATATATGAGTCTATGGGTCTCTATGTGGGTCTCTATGGGTCTCTGTGTGAGTATATGGGTCTCTACATGGGTCTCTATGTGGGTCTCTATGGGTCTCTATGTGTGTCTATGGGTCTTTGTGTGAGTGTTTATGGGTCTTTATGTGAGTATATGGGTCTCTGTGTGGGTCTCTATGGGTCTCTGTGTGAGTCTATGGGTCTCTATGTGAGTCTGTGGGTCTCTGTGTGAGTCTATGGGTCTCTGTGTGAATCTATGGGTCTCTGTGTGAGTCTATGGGTTTCTGTGGAGTCTATGGGTCTCTGCGATTCTATGGGTCTCTGTGTGAGTCTATGGGTCTCTGTGTGAGTCTATGGGTCTCTGTGGAGTCTATGGGTCTCTGCGATTCTATGGGTCTCTGTGTGAGTCTATGGGTCTCTGTGTGAGTCTCTATGGGTCTCTGTGTGAGTCTATGGGTCTCTATGCGATTCTATGGGTCTCTATGCTGGTCTCTATGACTCTCTACGTGCCCCTATGCGGCACACAGACACCCATAGGTTGGAACCCCCCCCCCCCCCTCGCCGGCTCCCCCTCTCGTCACCCCCGACCTCTTGACCTCTGACCCCACCCAGGCAGAGCACTCTATCTATGCGCCCATCCCGGACAAACCCGATGAGCTGGCAAGCTCTATGTCCCGCGCCCCCGCCCCCCGCGCAGCGTCCGCTTGCGCGCCCCGCGAGACGCCGATTGACTCGGGCAAACCCCTTCAGGCGCTCGCTCGCCTCAACGTCGCCAACGCGTCGTTCCGCTCCGTGCAGACGTCAACGAGTGCGACATCTTCTCGGGCATCTGCGTGAGCAGCCATTGCATCAACACCCCAGGGTCCTTCCGCTGCGACTGCCCGCCGGGACTCACGCTCGACGCCTCGGGGCGCGCCTGCGTCGGTGAGGACGCCGCCGCCGCCGCCGCCGCTGCTGCTGGATGGACGAGCCCGCTCACACGCACACACACATACATATACACACACATACATATACATATACACACATATACACACATACATATACACGCACACACATACACATACATACACATACATATACACACATACACATACATATACACATACACACATACACACACACATACACTCACACACACATACACTCACACATACACACATACACATACACTCACACACACACATACACACATACACACACATACACACACATACACATACATATACACGCACACACATACACATACACACACATACACACACATACACATACATACACATACACACACATACACACACATACACACATACACACACATACATACACACATACACATACACACATACACATACATACACTCACACACACATACACACATACACTCACACACATACACATACACTCACACACTCACACTCACACATACACACACACTCACACACACATACACACATACACATACACACATACACATACATACACATACACACATACATATATATACACTCACACATACACACACACACACCCCGCCGTGACCGTGACCGCTACACCCCACCCAGCTGCACCACCACCCCCACCACCACCCCCTACCACCCACCACTCTCAACAATCACGACGGCTAGGGAGCACCACAATCCCTCGCACGGCGCCGCACAACACCGCACCGTGCCACACCGTATCACGCCACACCAGACCACACCACACCACACCGTATCACGCCAGACCACACCACACCACACCGCACCACACAACAGCGACGACGACCACGGCGGTCGACCACCTAAACGGCGTCACGTGTCACCCCCCACGTCACCCCTCCCCCACGTCACCCCCCCCCTCACGTCACCCCCCTCCCCCACCTCCCCCCCTCCCCCACGTCACCCCTCCCCCCACGTCACCCCCCACGTCACCCCCCACCCTCCCCCCCCAGACCTGCGCCTGGAGTCGTGCTTCCTGACGCACGACGAGGACTCTGTGGAGTGCGGCGCCCTGGGGGCCCCGCGCCTGCGTAGTGACGTGTGCTGCTGCTCCCTGGGGGCCGCGTGGGGCCGCCACTGCGACGGGTGCCCCCCCGCCGGCTCCGACGACTTTGAGCGCCTCTGCCCACGTGGGCCAGGGTTCTCCAGCCGCGGGGACTTCACCACGGGACGGCAGCTCTTCAAGGGTAAGCACGGGCGAGCCCCCCACCCCGCGTGGGCCCCCCCCCCGCCCGTGCAGGCCCCCCAGCCCGTGCGGGCCCCCCCCCCGGGCTTTCGATTGGTTGCGGTTGGCTACGTACGACGCGAAAGAGCTTCAACGCGTACACGTGTACGTACGTACACGTGTACACGTGTATGTACGTGTACACACACGTACGTACACGTGTACACACACGTGTACGTACGCGTGTGTATGCGTATGTACGTGCGTGCGTACAAAGACATAGATCCCCCGTGTAGCCTTAGCAGACTGCAGGGGCAAGTGCTGTTAGCGAGCAGCACCTGTGAAGGCCGGTAACGGCACACGAGGGGGGTGGGTGGCCAGCAACCACGCCCGGCCGCCTTTGTCTCCCCCAGTAACGATGTTTACTACACACCGCACCAGGTACTCGTTTGAGGCTGAGTCCACCTAGGGGAGGCCCCGGGACCGGTTCAGATAACCGTCACCGGTGTTGGCCGTGAGCAGGGAATCGAACTCGGATCGCCGTGTTCATAGCGCAGCCTGGCGCTGAACGCTACGCTCCCGACCCTACCCGGCGTTGGCACGGTTACTTGGTCATCATTCCGCAGAGTCGGCGAATCGAGCGCCGGCGGTTGTCCGGCGGATGTCCTCGCCATAGCAACGTGGAATCTCCACCGCCGGCACCCGCAGGGGCTCGTGGCGCTCCGTCCGCGCGGCGCTCAGCGCCGGTGTCCGACGTTTCGCCACGCGGGCGCCGGTAGCTGCTTCAGGAGCTGAATTGTCCCGGCCGCGTGAAGCCACCCCGGTCGGCTCCGTCAGGGGCTCCCTGCGACAGCTTCAGCTCCCTCCGGGTTGCTTTACAACGGGGGAGGAGGTGGAGGAGGTGGAGGAGGAGGAGGAGGTGGAGGAGGAGGTGGAGGAGGAGGAGGAGGTGGAGGAGGAGGTGGAGGAGGAGGAGGAGGTAGAGGAGGAGGAGGAGGTGGAGGAGGAGGTAGAGGAGGTGGTGGTGGAGGAGGAGGAGGAGGTAGAGGAGGAGGAGGTGGTGGAGGGGAGAGAACAGGGTGGGGGGAATATTTTCAGGAGCTCAGCCCTGGACAGCTCCACCTGACATGATTATCATGCCCTCACCTTGGCAACCTCCACCCCCCCCCCACAACGCTCCCTCACCTCTTCCACCTCCTCCCCCCCTCCTCTATGACCGACCCTCTCTCCTTCCCCCCCCCCTTCTACCCCCCCCCTTCCCCCCATACCCCTCTTCTCCCCTCCATCCCTCTCCCATGCCCCCCCCCTTCCCCCACCCCCCCATGCCCCCCCCTCCCTCCCCACTCTCCCCCCACCCCCCCTGGCAGACATTAACGAGTGCAAGGTGTTCAGCAGCCTGTGCCACAGTGGGCGCTGCCGCAACACCATCGGCAGCTTCAAGTGCCGCTGCGACAGCGGATTCGCTCTCGACACCGAGGAGAGGAACTGCACCGGTTGGTGACATGGGCGGGGGGGGCCCGTGGGGGGCATTGGGGAGGTGTAGGGGAGAGAATGTTGGGGGGGGGGGGTGGTACAGCTTCCGAAAACACAAATACAGGCTGCTGGTTCAAAAAACAAACGTTATGAAAATGTATACGGGACGATCATCAATATTCTTGGTTCTTTCGGTAAAGTCACGTAGAATGGAGGTAATGAGATAATAAAAAAATAATACGTAATAAAATTAAATTCTCACGACGTTTCGGCCACTACGCAGGCAGCCGTCCTCAGTTGAAGAACGGAGCTGTCGGATAGACAGCCTCCTAATGAGTCGATCAATGTTAATGGGAACAGAACGGATGATACAGTGTAAGCATGATAACAAATTGTGTGTTGGTAGCTTCGAAAAAGTCAAAGAGTCTCTTCAAATTTGTTGCTTGGGTCTTTCGCTAAAGTCACGTCGATGGGTTCAAATTGATGAAAATAAAATGAACAAAATCAAACTACGACGTTTTGATCGATTCAAAAAGTGGAGTTTGAAAACCGGAGGTCCTGGAGAATAATCCACGCGACCACGGGGAGAGAGAGAGACATGCGCAGACTGCAAATATACTGCAGCCGTTCTAGATTTGAAGCTTTCGTGACTGCAAGGATCCACACTCTTTGGTTCTATTCGCTAAAGTCACCACGTAGGTAAAAAAATAAAACAACATAAAAATCACGACGTTTCGGCCACAACACAAGTGGCCTTCATCAGGTGAAGGGACCGTGCTGTCACGAAGACAGCGTTGGAATCAAGAAAGTCAAGCCAGGTCGTGTCCTTTAAGCTGTGTGGGAGGGAACCAAACGCTTTGACAAAGGAATTGGCATAAAGTGCTGATCGATCACCTAAAGTGCTGATTGAACACTTAACACCGGTTGGGGGGGGGAGGGGAATTTGACAATGCAAGCGTTGTGTTGAAGGGAAATAAGCTGCTGTGAAAGTTTGGAATATCACTACTGGATAAATAAACTGTACCATTGAAATTAGTTTAATGGTTGGTATGATTTAGAACATCTTTCCAATGATTGATTGATTTGAAACCATCTTCTCGGTTGAAATTGTGTCTGTGTTTGTAAATATGAATTGCCTCGTGGACAAATCTCTGATGATATCCTGTGGGTTTGCAAAGGACTTGGTTATCGGAGAACACTATATCTTGATCACCCACAGCGTTGTAACAGTGATCAGCTACGGCAGAAGAATTCGTTCTGCCGTGTTTCAAATCTGATTTGTGCTCGCGAATTCGGTCAGAGACATGTTACTTCGTCTCCCCAGCGTCGATAAGAGTAAGGACGGACTCCACGTCCTACTGCATACCAGGCAAGGTGGTTAACATCTGACCAAGGGGAGAGAGCAAGATAGAGGGATAGAGTCAAATCGTTTAGTTTAGTAGTTCAGCAATGACAATACTCATCGGGAAATATTGTCTTGCTACCCGTATGGTTAGTGTTAGTCTATGGGTAGTGTTGAGTCTATTGGTAGTGTTAGTCTATGGGTAATGTTGAGTCTATGGGTAGTGTGAGTCGATGGGTAGTGTTGAGTCTATGGGTAGTGTTGAGTCTATTGGTAGTGTTAGTCTATGGGTAATGTTGAGTCTATGGGTAGTGTGAGTCTATGGGTAGTGTTGAGTCTATGGGTAGTGTTAGTCTATGGTTAGTGTTAGTCTATGGGTAGTGTTAGTCTATGGGTAGTGTTAGTCTATGGCCAATATGTATATTGAACTTCTTTCGCACCATACGTAGCCGGCCTTGCTAATTGCAGTTGCAGTGGGGAAGGACATCAAACTAATCACGCAAAGCAGTTCTAAACGAATGAGTTTGTCAATCTAGATGATGATGGTGATGATGATTATGGTGATGATGGTGATGATGATGATGGTGATGATGATGGTAATGATGATGATGGTGATGGTGATGATGGTGATGATGATGGTGATGATGATGGTGATGATAATGATGGTGATGATGATGATGGTGATGATGGTGATGGTGATGATGATTATGGTGATGATGGTGATGATGATGGTGATGATAATGATGGTGATGATGATGGTGATGATGATGATGATGGTGATGATGGTGATGATGATGGTGATGATGATGGTGATGATGATGATGGTCATGATGATGGTGATGATGATGATGGTCATGATGATGGTGATGATGATGATGGTGATGATGATTATGGTGATGATGATGATTTAAAAGTGCAGGAGAGCTCCATAGTGGCTTCCTAAGACGGACGCAGCAGCCGTTCCGAGCGCGCTGCACAATGCGTTGACTGTATATGTCCGATGGCTTGTTACAAGTGGTGTGCAGTGGTGTGTAGTGTATAGTGTAGTATATCGTGCAGTGAGTGTAGTGTGCATTGTAGTGTATAGTAGTGTATAGTAGTGTAGTGTATAGTAGTGTAGTGTATAGTGTAGTGTATAGCAGTGTAGTGTATAGTAGTGTAGTGTATAGTAGTGTAGTGTATAGTAGTGTATAGTGTATAGTAGTGTAGTGTAGTGTATAGCAGTTTAGTGTATAGCAGTATAGTGTATAGCAGTGTAGTGTATAGTAGTGTAGTGTATAGTGTAGTGTATAGCAGTGTAGTGTATAGTAGTGTAGTGTATAGTAGTGTAGTGTATATTGTAGTGTATAGTGTAGTGTATAGTGTAGTGTATAGTGTAGTGTATATTAGTGTAGTGTATAGTAGTGTAGTGTATAGTGTAGTGTATAGTGTAGTGCATAGTATAGTGTAGTGTATAGTAGTGTATAGTGTAGTGTATAGTAGTGTAGTGTATAGTAGTGTAGTATATAGTGTAGTGTATAGTAGTGTAGTGTATGGTAGTGTAGTGTATAGTGTAGTGTATAGTAGTATATAGTGTAGTGTATAGTGTAGTGTATAGTGTAGTGTATAGTGTATAGCAGTGTAGTATATAGTGTAGTGTATAGTAGTATAGTGTAGTGTATAGTGTATAGTAGTGTATAGTGTAGTGTATAGTCTATAGTAGTGTAGTGTTTATAACATCTGAAAGCGCCGCGCGATGCGTTGACGACCGCCCTTTGTTCGCCGGCCGGCCGAAATCCGCTGGCGCTGCTGCGAGCGTGGACCGGGAGTGTCACGTGACGATGGCCTACGGCTCCTTGGCGTGATCGGCGAGGTGACCGTGGTTCATTCTGTCGTGTAACTCCGGTGCGTTGTCGTTGTCGTTGTTGTTGATGTTGTTGATGTTGTTGTTGATGTTGTTCTTTGCCGCTTGCGCCGCGCCAGACATTGACGAGTGCCACATCTCGCTGGACGTGTGTGGACACGGCGTCTGTGTGAACACGCCGGGCAGCTTCGAGTGCGAGTGCATGGAGGGCTATGAGAGCGGCTTCATGATGATGAAAAACTGCATGGGTGAGTTCGGCTGTAGACGCTCTCATAGACTCACACTACCCATAGACTCAACACTACCCATAGACTCAACGCTGCCCATAGACTCAACACTGCCCATAGACTCAACACTGTCCATAGACTCAACACTACCCATAGACTCAACGCTGCCCATAGACTCAACACTACCCATAGACTAACACTGCCCATAGACTCAACACTGCCCATAGACTAACACTGCCCTTAGACTCAACACTGCCCATAGACTAACACTACCCATAGAATCAACACTACCCAAAGACTCAACACTACCAATAGAATCAACACTACCCATAGACTCAACACTATCCATAGACTCAATACTACCCATAAACTCTACACTGCCCATAGACTCAACAATGCCCATAGACTCACACTACCCATAGACTCAGCACTAGCCATAGACTAACACTGCCCATAGACTAACACTACCCATAGACTCAACACTGCCCATAGACTCAACACTACCCACAGACTCAACACTGCCCATAGACTCAACACTGCCCATAGACTCAACAATGCCCATAGACTCACACTACCCATAGACTCAGCACTAGCCATAGACTAACACTGCCCATAGACTCAACACTGCCCATAGACTCACACTGCCCATAGACTCAACACTGCCCATAGACAACACTTCCCATATACTCAACACTACCCATAGACTAACACTTCCCATAGACTCAACACTACCCATAGACTCAACACTGCCCATAGACTCAACACTGCCCATAGACTCAACACTGCCCATAGACTCACACTGCCCATAGACCCAACACTGCCCAATGACTCACACTACCCATAGACTCAACACCACCCATAGACTAACACTGCCCATAGACTCAACACTGCCCATAGACTCAACACTGCCCATAGACTCACACTACCCATAGACTCAACACTACCCATAGACTAACACTGCCCATAGACTAACACTGCCCATAGACTCAACACTGCCCATAGACTCAACACTGCCCATAGACTCACACTGCCCATAGACTCAACACTGCCCATAGATTCAACACTGCCCATAGACTCACACTACCCATAGACTCAACACTACCCATAGACTAACACTGCCCATAGACTAACACTGCCCATAGACTCAACACTACCCATAGACTAACACTACCCATAGACTCAACACTGCCCATACACTCAACACTACCCATAGACTAACACTGCCCATAGACTCAACACTGCCCATAGACTAACACTGCCCTTAGACTCAACACTGCCCATAGACTAACACTACCCATAGACTCAACACTACCCAAAGACTCAACACTACCAATAGAATCAACACTACCCATAGACTCAACACTATCCATAGACTCAATACTACCCATAAACTCTACACTGCCCATAGACTCAACACTGCCCATAGACTCAACACTGCCCATAGACTCAACAATGCCCATAGACTCACACTACCCATAGACTCAGCACTAGCCATAGACTAACACTGCCCATAGACTAACACTACCCATAGACTCAACACTGCCCATAGACTCAACACTACCCACAGACTCAACACTGCCCATAGACTCAACACTGCCCATAGACTCAACAATGCCCATAGACTCACACTACCCATAGACTCAGCACTAGCCATAGACTAACACTGCCCATAGACTCAACACTGCCCATAGACTCACACTGCCCATAGACTCAACACTGCCCATAGACAACACTTCCCATATACTCAACACTACCCATAGACTAACACTTCCCATAGACTCAACACTACCCATAGACTCAACACTGCCCATAGACTCAACACTGCCCATAGACTCAACACTGCCCATAGACTCACACTGCCCATAGACCCAACACTGCCCAATGACTCACACTACCCATAGACTCAACACTACCCATAGACTAACACTGCCCATAGACTCAACACTGCCCATAGACTCAACACTGCCCATAGACTCACACTACCCATAGACTCAACAATGCCCATAGACTCACACTACCCATAGACTCAGCACTAGCCATAGACTAACACTGCCCATAGACTAACACTACCCATAGACTCAACACTGCTCATAGACTCAACACTACCCACAGACTCAACACTGCCCATAGACTCAACACTGCTCATAGACTCAACAATGCCCATAGACTCACACTACCCATAGACTCAGCACTAGCCATAGACTAACACTGCCCATAGACTCAACACTGCCCATAGACTCACACTGCCCATAGACTCAACACTGCCCATAGACAACACTTCCCATATACTCAACACTACCCATAGACTAACACTTCCCATAGACTCAACACTACCCATAGACTCAACACTGCCCATAGACTCAACACTACCCATAGACTCAACACTGCCCATAGACTCAACACTGCCCATAGACTCAACACTGCCCATAGACTCACACTGCCCATAGACCCAACACTGCCCAATGACTCACACTACCCATAGACTCAACACTACCCATAGACTAACAGTGCCCATAGACTCAACACTGCCCATAGACTCAACACTGCCCATAGACTCACACTACCCATAGACTCAACAATGCCCATAGACTCACACTACCCATAGACTCAGCACTAGCCATAGACTAACACTGCCCATAGACTAACACTACCCATAGACTCAACACTGCTCATAGACTCAACACTACCCACAGACTCAACACTGCCCATAGACTCAACACTGCTCATAGACTCAACAATGCCCATAGACTCACACTACCCATAGACTCAGCACTAGCCATAGACTAACACTGCCCATAGACTCAACACTGCCCATAGACTCACACTGCCCATAGACTCAACACTGCCCATAGACAACACTTCCCATATACTCAACACTACCCATAGACTAACACTTCCCATAGACTCAACACTACCCATAGACTCAACACTGCCCATAGACTCAACACTGCCCATAGACTCAACACTGCCCATAGACTCACACTGCCCATAGACCCAACACTGCCCAATGACTCACACTACCCATAGACTCAACACTACCCATAGACTAACACTGCCCATAGACTCAACACTGCCCATAGACTCAACACTGCCCATAGACTCACACTACCCATAGACTCAACACTACCCATAGACTAACACTGCCCATAGACTAACACTGCCCATAGACTCAACACTGCCCATAGACTCAACACTGCCCATAGACTCACACTGCCCATAGACTCAACACTGCCCATAGATTCAACACTGCCCATAGACTCACACTACCCATAGACTCAACACTACCCATAGACTAACACTGCCCATAGACTAACACTGCCCATAGACTCAACACTGCCCATAGACTAACACTACCCATAGACTCAACACTACCCATAGACTCAACACTACCAATAGACTCAACACTACCCAGTGACTCAACACTACCCATAGACTCAACACTGCCCATAGACTCAACACTGCCCATAGACTCAACAATGCCCATAGACTCACACTACCCATAGACTCAGCACTAGCCATAGACTCAACACTGCCCATAGACTCAACACTCCCCTTAGACTCAACACTGCCCATAGACTCAACACTGCCCATAGACTCAACACTACCCATAGACTCAACACTGCCCATAGACTCAACACTGAACCTCTGATTAGCACGGATGGCTACGTTCGGTGCGAGAGAAGTTCCACACACACGTACGTACGTACGCTGCGCGATGGCACCTCTGTCTCACAAACTTCCGTGACCGTTACGATCATCGTCCAGCATCTGTCCGAAACTTACGTCGTTCGTGGATTTAAAACTAGAAAAATATATTTTTTAATTTTACCAGTTAAGGCCCACTGAGCTATATAGCTGGGTTTGGTGATGACAAATGTTAGCTCAACGAAGTGGGCTTATCATCATCATCATCATGTGGAAATTCATAGCTGCCAACTATCTCTAAACGCGTGATGTTGATGCTAAATGTGGAGGGAGAGAAAGAGAGAGACATGCAGACTCCAAATATACAGCAGCAGCAGGCGTCGGGGTTGCGATCGAGCCCACGACCTCCTGCATACCCGGCGAGGTTGTTAACATCCCCCTAGTCCACCGTGACCATCAACGGACGATCGGACAAGATGGTGAGAAATATGTGCGCTGACCTCTTGACGAGCCGCGGGGTGATTGACCCCCTCCCCCCCCGCCTCATCTCCTCCCCCCCTTCACCACCCACCCCATGCCCATCTCACCGCTCCCCAGACATTAACGAGTGCGAGCGCGATGCCATGTTGTGCCGCGGTGGCACCTGTCTCAACACGGAAGGGAGCTTCCGCTGCGTCTGCCCGCCGGGCCACGGGCTCAACGACGATGGGACCGCCTGCGCTGGTACGGAATCCCCCGCCCCCCCCCCCCCTAGTCCAGAATCCCCCAGCCCCCCTAGTCCAGAATCCCCCGGCCCCCCCATTGTCCAGAATCCCCCGGCCCCCCTAGTCCAGAATCCCCCGGCCCCCCCCCCCTAGTCCAGAATCCCCCGGCCCCCCCCCTAGTCCAGAATCCCCCGGCCCCCCTAGTCCAGAATCCCCCCTAGTCCAGAATCCCCCGGCCCCCCTAGTCCAGAATCCCCCCTAGTCCAGAATCCCCCGGCCCCCCCTAGTCCAGAATCCCCCCTAGTCCAGAATCCCCCGGCCCCCCTAGTCCAGAATCCCCCGGCCCCCCCTAGTCCCGACGCGTCTTTTCGCGGATTGTAGGAAACGTCCTCCGTAATTCCGGATGGAGAATCCGGAGCCTGGAATAAGGAAGCTACCGCAATGCGGAGTAGGGAATCCAGAATCCAGTATCTATGACGTGGAATCTGGAATCCGTTGGACATAAATGAAAACCCAGGATCTGGAATTGGTAATCCATAATTTATCATTTAAAATAGAGGATATAGAACTGGTAATCCAGAATGCACAATCAGGAATGCATTATACAGGATCTGGGATTCATAATTTCATAATCCAGGATATATAATTCAAAATCCAAAACCTGGAATCCGCAATCAGTAATCCATAATCTTGGATAGAAAATCCAGAATCTCTCATGCAGAATCTGGCATTCGTAATTAATAATCCAGAATCACAAATCCAGAATCCATATCCTGGGAATCTGGTCCATAATACACAATACAGAACCCGTGATCCCACATCCAGGATTCAAATCCTGGGAATCTGGTCCATAATACACAATACAAAACCCGTGATCACACATCCAGGATCCAAATCCTGGGAATCTGGTCCATAATACACAATACAGAACCCGTGATCACACATCCAGGATCCAAATCCTGGGAATCTGGTCCATAATACACAATACAAGATATTGAACCCAGGATCCAGAATCCATCACTCATGATGCTAAACTAAACTATTTTTTCCTGGCTCTTTCGGTAAAGTCACGTAGAAGGGAAACAATAAAATAATAAAAATATAAAACATATATAAAATATATATTTCAATATTATTTTATTTCCCTTCTACGTGAATTTACCAAAAGAACCAAGAATATGAATCCCTGCTGTCACGAAAGCTTTGAATCAAAATTTTAACTAATTTTTTTTTATTTTACCTGGTAAGGCCCACTGAGCTACGTAGCTATTTTTCAGGCTTAACCTGGGCTACCGCAGACGATAGTTCAACGGCGCAGCTCATCATCATCATCATCGTCACCACGTGTACATTTACAGCAGCAGCCAAATCACTCTAAACGCGTGGTGATGTTGATTCTAAACGTGGAGGGGAAAAATCAACGCGACCGCGGGGAGAGAGAGACACCGCAAACTCCAAACATACAGCAGGCTTCAGGGTCGGGATCGAACCCACAACCTCCTGTATACGAATCGAGGTAGTTAACATCTCCCTTGCAACCACGGTGATTCTGATACGCCCGCCCCTCCGCTGTGCCCCCCGTGTAGACGTGGACGAGTGCTTGCTGAGTGGGAACCTGTGCCGGAACGGGCGCTGTGTGAACATGGTGGGCAAATACCAGTGTGCCTGCAACCCGGGGTACCAGAGCACGGGGGACCGCCAGGGCTGTGTGGGTGAGTGGCTCCCTCATCCTCCTCGCCATCCCTCCCCCGCACACACCACACACACACAGACACCGTGCGTGTCTCACTCAACTCCGCTACACACACTCTCCTGTCTCTCCCCTCTCATCTCACTCCACTCCCCTCCACGCACTCCCATACCTCTCACCTCTCATCCCGCTCCACTCCCCTCCACGCACTCCCCTACCTCTCCCCTCTCATCCCGCTCCACTCCTCTCCACGCACTCTCCTACCTCTCCCCTCTCATCTCACTCCTCGCCACTGGGGAGACAAAGGCGGCCGGGCGTGGTGCTGGCCACCCACCCCCTCGTGTGCCGAGCCGGCCTTCTAGGGTGCTCGCAGACGGCACTTGCCCCTACAATCTGTTAAGGGCTATAAAAGGGGTCTTTGTTTTCGTGCAACTGAATGTATGTGTGTGTGTGGTCGTGTGTGTGTGTGTACGTGTGTGCTCGTGTGTACGTGTGTGTTTGCTCGTGTGTATGTGTACGTGTGTGTGTGTGTACATGTGTGTGTGCGTACGTCTGTGTGTGCTCCTGCGTACGTGTGTGTGTGTACGTGTGTGTGTGTACGTCTGTGTGTGTACGTGTATGTACGTGTGTGTGTTGTGTGTGTTGTGTGTGTATGTGTGTGTTTGTACGTGTGTGTGTGTACGTCTGTGTGTGTGTACGTCTACGTGTGTACGTGTGTGTGTGTACGTGTGTGTGTTGTGTGTGTTGTGTGTGTCACACCAGACATCAACGAGTGCAACATCCGCAATGGGGGCTGCGACCGCTTCTGCACCAACTCTGACGGCAGCTACGAGTGCAGCTGCGACAGCGGCTACGCACTCATGCCCGACAGCCGCTCCTGCACAGGTGTGTCTGTACACAGCTACACAGGTGTGTCTGTGTACACAGCTACACAGGTGTGTCTGTGTACATAGCTACACAGGTGTGTCTGTGTACACAGCTACACAGGTGTGTCTGTACACAGCTACACAGGTGTGTCTGTGTACATAGCTACACAGGTGTGTCTGTGTACACAGCTACACAGGTGTGTCTGTGTACATAGCTACACAGGTGTGTCTGTGTACACAGCTACACAGGTGTGTCTGTACACAGCGACACAGGTGTGTCTGTACACAGCTACACAGGTGTGTCTGTACACAGGTACACAGGTGTGTCTGTACACAGCTACACAGGTGTGTCTGTACACAGCTACACAGGTGTGTCTGTGTACATAGCTACACAGGTGTGTCTGTGTACACAGCTACACAGGTGTGTCTGTGTACACAGCTACACAGGTGTGTCTGTACACAGCTACACAGGTGTGTCCGTACACAGCTACACAGGTGTGTCCGTACACAGCTACACAGGTGTGTCTGTACACAGCTACACAGGTGTGTCTGTACACAGCTACACAGGTGTGTCTGTACACAGCTACACAGGTGTGTCTGTACACAGCTACACAGGTGTGTCTGTACACAGCTACACAGGTGTGTCTGTGTACATAGCTACACAGGTGTGTCTGTACACAGCTACACAGGTGTGTCTGTACACAGCTACACAGGTGTGTCCATACACAGCTACACAGGTGTGTCCGTACACAGCTACACAGGTGTGTCTATACACAGCTACACAGGTGTGTCCATACACAGCTACACAGGTGTGTCCATTCACAGCTACACAGGTGTGTCCATACACAGCTACACAGGTGTGTCTGTACACAGCTACACAGGTGTGTCTGTACACAGCTACACAGGTGTGTCCGTACACAGCTCCACAGGTGTGTCTGTACACAGCTACACAGGTGTGTCTGTACACAGCTACACAGGTGTGTCCATACACAGCTACACAGGTGTGTCTGTACACAGCTACACAGGTGTGTCTGTGTACACAGCTACACAGGTGTGTCCGTACACAGCTACACAGGTGTGTCTGTACACAGCTCCACAGGTGTGTCTGTACACAGCTACACAGGTGTGTCCGTACACAGCTACACAGGTGTGTCCATACACAGCTCCACAGGTGTGTCCGTACACAGCTACACAGGTGTGTCCATCCACAACCACACAGGTGTGTCTGTACACAGCTACACAGGTGTGTCCATACACAGCTACACAGGTGTGTCCGTACACAGCTACACAGGTGTGTCCGTACACAGCTACACAGGTGTGTCCATACACAGCTACACAGGTGTGTCCATACACAGCTACACAGGTGTGTCCATACACAGCGGTACAGGTGTGTCCATACACAGCTACACAGGTGTATCCATACACAGCTGCACAGGTGTGTCTGTACACAGCTACACAGGTGTGTCCGTACACAGCTACACAGGTGTGTCTGTACACAGCTACACAGGTGTGTCCGTACACAGCTACACAGGTGTATCTGTACACAGCTACACAGGTGTATCTGTACACAGCTACACAGGTGTGTCTGTGTACACAGCTACCCAGGTGTGTCTGTACACAGCTACACAGGTGTGTCCATACACAGCTACACAGGTGTGTCCATACACAGCTACACAGGTGTGTCCGTACACAGCTACACAGGTGTGTCTGTACACAGCTCCACAGGTGTGTCTGTACACAGCTACACAGGTGTGTCCGTACACAGCTACACAGGTGTGTCCATACACAGCTCCACAGGTGTGTCCGTACACAGCTACACAGGTGTGTCCATCCACAACCACACAGGTGTGTCTGTACACAGCTACACAGGTGTGTCCATACACAGCTACACAGGTGTGTCCGTACACAGCTACACAGGTGTGTCCATACACAGCTACACAGGTGTGTCCATACACAGCTACACAGGTGTGTCCATACACAGCGGTACAGGTGTGTCCATACACAGCTACACAGGTGTATCCATACACAGCTGCACAGGTGTGTCTGTACACAGCTACACAGGTGTGTCCGTACACAGCTACACAGGTGTGTCTGTACACAGCTACACAGGTGTGTCCGTACACAGCTACACAGGTGTATCTGTACACAGCTACACAGGTGTGTCTGTGTACACAGCTACCCAGGTGTGTCTGTACACAGCTACACAGGTGTGTCCATACACAGCTACACAGGTGTGTCCATACACAGCTACACAGGTGTGTCCGTACACAGCTACACAGGTGTGTCTGTACACAGCTACACAGGTGTGTCCGTACACAGCTACACAGGTGTGTCTGTACACAGCTACACAGGTGTGTCTGTACACAGCTACACAGGTGTGTCCGTACACACCTACACAGGTGTGTCTGTACACAGCTACACAGGTGTGTCCATACACAGCTACACAGGTGTGTCCGTACACAGCTACACAGGTGTGTCTGTACACAGCTACACAGGTGTGTCGATACACAGCTGCACAGGTGTGTCTGTACACAGCTACACAGGTGTGTCTGTACACAGCTACACAGGTGTGTCCGTACACAGCTGCACAGGTGTGTCTGTACACAGCTACACAGGTGTGTCCGTACACAGCTACACAGGTGTGTCCGTACACAGCTGCACAGGTGTGTCTGTACACAGCTACACAGGTGTGTCTGTGTACATAGCTACACAGGTGTGTCTGTGTACACAGCTACACAGGTGTGTCCGTACACAGCTACACAGGTGTGTCTGTACACAGCTACACAGGTGTGTCCATACACAGCTCCACAGGTGTGTCCATACACAGCTCCACAGGTGTGTCTGTACACAGCTACACAGGTGTATCCATGCACAGCTACACAGGTGTGTCCGTACACAGCTACACAGGTGTGTCCGTACACAGCTACACAGGTGTGTCTGTACACAGCTACACGGACACAATGCCAAGATCTACCTACCACACAACCGCACAACACATTCGTACCACACAGCCATTGCTGTTGATGCCATTGTCATCACCGCGATCCTCCTCATCCTCATCCTCCTCCTCGTCCTCCTCCTCGTCCTCCTCCTCCTCGTCGTCGTCGTCGCTGCGGTGACCATGTGCAGACATCGACGAGTGTGAGGAGAGCCCACACATCTGCGACGGGGGCCAGTGCACCAACGTGCCCGGGGACTACCGCTGCCTCTGCTTCGACGGCTTCATGGCCTCCATCGACCTCAAGACCTGCCTGGGTATGCCGCTCATCCTCCTCCTGCTGCTGCTGCTGCTCCTCCTCATCCTCCTGCTGCTCCTTCTGCTCCTGCTGCTCATCGTCCTGCTGCGCCTCCACCTGCTGCTGCTCCTCCCACCTGTCCCCCCTCTGTGCATGATTTCTCGGCCTCATGATAGTGGGTGAGTGAGTGGGTGAGTTAGTTAGTGGGTGAGTGTGTGAGTGGGTGAGTTAGTGAGTTAGTGGGTGAGTGAGTGGGTGAGTTAGTGAGTTAGTGGGTGAGTTAGTGGGTGAGTGAGTGAGTTAGTGGGTGAGTTAGTGTGTGAGTTAGTGGGTGAGTGAGTGGGTAAGTTAGTGGGTGAGTCAGTGAGTGGGTGAGTTATTGGGTGAGTGAGTGGGTGAGTTAGTGGGTGAGTGGGTGGGTGAGTTGGTGGGTGAGTTGGTGGGTGAGTTAGTGGGTGAGTGAGTGGGTGAGTTAGTGAGTTAGTGGGTGAGTTATTGGGTGAGGTAGTGGGTGAGTTAGTGGGTGGGTGAGTTAGTGGGTGAGTTAGTGGGTGAGTCAGTGAGTGGGTGAGTAAGTGGGTGAGTGAGTGGGTGAGTGGGTGGGTGAATTAGTGGGTGAGTCAGTGAGTGGGTGAGTTAGTGGGTTAGTGAGTGGGTGAGTTAGTGGGTGAATGAGTGGGTGACTGAGTGGGTGAGTTAGTGGGTGAGTGAGTGGGTGAGTTAGTAGGTGAGTGAGTTAGTAGGTGAGTGAGTTAGTGAGTTAGTGGGTGAATTAGTGGGTGAGTGGGTGAGTGGGTGGGTGAGTTAGTGGGTGAGTGAGTGGGTGAGTGAGTGGGTGAGTGGGTGGGTGAATTAGTGGGTGAGTCAGTGAGTGGGTGAGTTAGTGGGTGAGTGAGTGGGTGAGTTAGTAGGTGAGTGAGTTAGTGAGTTAGTGGGTGAATTAGTGGGTGAGTGGGTGAGTGGGTGGGTGAGTTAGTGGGTGAGTGAGTGGGTGAGTGAGTGGGTGAGTGGTGGTGGTGGGTGGTGGTGGTGGGTGGATGAACGCAGTCGCGAATGAGACTCATCAGTCAGCGTCTGCTCCTTTCGAGCCATCGTCAGGAGTAGTCAACGAGTCAAGTTCACTGGGAACGGTTGTCACGGTGGTAGCAGCCGCAGCAGCACAAGGAGAATCTCGGCGTGTTCCTGCAGACGCCGTTGACACACGGGCTCGATTCACACCCACCCACTCCCACTCACCCACCGACCCACTCACCCACTCACCCACTCCCACCCACCCACTCCCACTCACCCACCCACTCCCACTCACCCACCCACTCCCACTCACCCACTCACCCACTCCCACTCACCCACTCACCCACTCCCACCCACCCACTCCCACTCACCCACTCCCACTCCCACTCACCCACTCACCCACTCCCACCCACCCACTCCCACTCACCCACTCCCACTCACCCACTCCCACTCACCCACTCCCACTCACCCACTCCCACTCACCCACTGACTTACTTATCCACCCACCCACTCACTCACCCACTCCCACTCACCCACTCCCACTCACCCACTCCCACTCACCAACTCCCACCCACTCACTCAGCTACCCACCCACACACCCACTATTATGACACACACACCACACACACACCACACACTATCACCACACACACCACACACTATTACCACACACCACACACACACACCATTACCACACACACACCACACTATTACCACACACACATACCACACACACACCACACACTATGACCACACACATGCACACCATTACTACACACCCCACACTATCACCACACATACCACACACCACACTTCCATACCACACTATCACCACACACACACCACACTATTACCACACACACACACCACACTATTACCACACACATACCACACTATCACCACACACACCACACTATCACCACACACACACCACACACTATGACCAAACACACACCACACTATCACCACACACACCACACTATTACCACACACATACCACACTATCACCACACACACACCACACTATCACCACACACATACCACACACTATGACCAAACACACCACACTATTACCACACACACACACCACACTATCACCACACACACACCACACACTATGACCAAACACACACACACACCTCACTCTCCATCCCCACACCCACCCACCCCGCCACTGTGCCACAGACGTGAACGAGTGTGAGCTGAACCCCAACATCTGCTTACACGGGAAGTGTGAGAACACGAGGGGATCCTTCATCTGCCACTGCGAGCCCGGCTTCTCCGTCAAGAAGGGCGCCTCCGGGTGCTCAGGTACACGTCCGTGTGTCTCCTACATCCACGTCTCTGTCCGTGTGCCCCCTACATCCACGTCTCTGTCCGTGTGCCCCCTACATCCACATCTCTGTCCGTGTGCCCCCCCCATCCACGTCTCTGTCCGTGTGCCCCCCCCATCCACGTCTCTGTCCGTGTGCCCCCCCCATCCACGTCTCTGTTCGTGTGCCCCCCCCCCATCCACGTCTCTGTCCGTGTGCCCCCCCCATCCACGTCTCTGTCCGTGTGCCCCCCCCCATCCACGTCTCTCTCCGTGTGCCCCCCCCCCCCATCCACGCCTCTGTCCGTGTGCCCCCCCCCCATCCACGTCTCTGTCCGTGTGCCCCCCCCCATCCACGTCTCTATCCGTTGTCCCCCCCCCCCATCCACGCCTCTGTCCGTGTGCCCCCCCCCCTCCACGCCTCTGTCCGTGGGCCCCCCCCATCCACGTCTCTATCCGTGTCCCCCCCCCCCCCATCCACGCCTCTGTCCGTGTGCCCCCCCTATCCACGTCTCTGTCCGTGTGCCCCCCCTATCCACGTCTCTATCCGTGTCCCCCCCCCATCCACGCCTCTGTCCGTGTGCCCCCCCCATCCACGTCTCTGTCCGTGTGCCCCCCTACATCCACGTCTCTGTCCGTGTGCCCCCCCCC